GTCTAATCCACGTCTTGGCAGAATGTACTGTGATTCTCCCCTAGGCCAGAGGAGGACAGCAGACTGGAGAAAGAGCCCCACTTTGTAGGACACTACACCCCATTGCTATTTTACATCACTATTTCTTGTTTCAGTGGAGTACAGTGTTTCTTCTTCCTCAAGGCCCACTGCAGCTACAAAACTGGCTTAGTGTCCTGTCTCAGTTGAAGAGAAACCATCCATCCTGTTACCGGGTTCTTCTTCCTTGTTCTGTGGAACTTGGGTCTCCAGGGGTTGCCACAAAACTGATCTCAATATGTTGGCTGTAAGCAACCCATTCTCTGGATCTACTTGGGCTTGCTGTCTGTTTGCTTTTTCTTTTTAAGATTTACTTATTTTATGTATATTAGTGCTCTATTTGCATGTATACCTTTATGGCAAAGAGGACATCAGATCCTGCTACAGATGGTTGTGAACCACTGTGTGGTTGCTGGGGATTGAACTCAGGACCTCTGTAAGAACAGTCAGTCTCTTAACCACTGAGCCATCTCTCCAGTCCCCAATTGCTATCTCTTAACTGGCTCGCTAAGTCAGAAAGTTGACATATGTGTGGCAAGAGCTGCAGTAGCAAGCCTCCTGTCCCATTTAGTCATTCCAGTCTGCTTAGGGGGTAGGGGTTGCTTGGCCACTTGAGAGAAAGGAACCGTTGGGAGGCAGGATTATTCTACTCTGATCTATGGGATGTGTATTTGAGCAGGGTCTCATGTATTCCAGACTGGCCTCTTAACTCTCCATACAGTTAAGGGTGAATTTGATCTTCTGATCTTCCCTCCCCTGACTCTCAAGTGCTGTGATTACAGGTTTGTGCCTGGTTTGTGTAGTTCCAGGATGGACTTGGGCTTCATGCATGCTAGGCAAGCACTCTACCACTGATCTATTCTACCAATTTGTATTTCTGCAGATGTTCATCAAAGCTCATCAATATGTACACTCAAGATCTGTAAATTAGCCGGGCAGCCATGGCACATTCCTTTAATCCCAGCACTCGGGAGGTAGAGGCATGTGGATCTCTATGCATTTGAGGCTAGCCAGGATAGGATAGCCAGGGCTACACAGAGAAATCCCCTATGGAAAAATAAAACAAGCAAAAAAGATGTATAAATTATACCTGAATTAAAAGAAGAACCACTAAGAGACAAAACTAGAGCCTTTGAAAACAAAGTTTCTCACCAAAATGAAAAATTCAGTAGAAGATTTAGGAAATAAATCTCTCTGAACACAGGGCAAACACAAACAGCTACAGAGGATTATGTACTGGTGAAGATCTACATCTTAGCATCAGGCATTCAGACTGGTACACACCCTTAGAAAAATGGCCCTGAAGATGATACAAAAATACTGAAGCCAAACAATGAGATTGTATTTTATATCTAGTTAAACAACTAAAACATTGTTTCAGCAATACTTAACTGCTGCTTTTGACAAGTGAGCATATACAGTCTTTTCCAGGAGCTGGAGGAAAAGCCAATTATCATCCATTATATCAGGGCTTATCTTTTGCCCAAGAAAACTCACTGCTGCAAATCTGTGCAAAGATAATGTCTCAGTCTGCTTGAGCTGCTGTAACAAAATTCCATAAACTAGGTAGTTTGTAAATAACAATTGACTTCTTACATTCCTGGAGAGTGTGAGAGTAGATTAGGATGTGCATTTGTGTGCATGGGGGAGTACTTTCTGGTATATAGATGGCTCCTTCTAGCTGTGTCCTTACATGGTAGAAGGGACAAAGCATCCTTCCTCCTGGGGTGCTTTAACACACACACATCCCCGTGTGCCGTGTGTTTGTGTGTGCGCATGCACACATGTGTGCTCACTATAGCACAAGTGTGGGAGATCAGAAGACAATTCTTTCCTTCCACTATGTGGATTCTGGAGACCAAACTCAGGTCATCTTTAGGCTTGGTGGCAAGCATCTTTACCCACTGACTCAGCTCACTGGCCTCTGGGTGGCGCTTTTATTTTACCGAGACAGGGTCTCACTATGCAGCCCTGGTTGTCCAGGAACTCCCCAAGGTGCCTGTCTCTGCTTCTTGACTGCCGAGGTGCCAGATTCTGGGTGATTTTACAAGGGAGCAATAATCTGTTTTCTAAGGGCTCTGCTTTCATGAGCTAATCTTTATCTCACCAAAGCCCCACCTCCTGATACAGTCAAATATGGGGAGAGAACTTCCTGATGTGGACCTGGGGTCAGGGATAGTCTACATAGGAAAATAAACTTATATTTGTTTTGTTATGTAGCCTAGGCTGGTGTCCATTTGCTGGGATCCTCTTGCCTCTACTCCCCACGTGCTGGGGGGGGGGGTTTCCAGTGGGGCATCATCAGCCCAGTTCCAGGCAGTAATTTTAGTGATCTTTCTTTCTTTTGAAACAGGGTCTCTACGTGTAGCCAAAGATAGCTTCCAACGTATGGCAATCCTCCTGTCTCAGCTGAGTGCTGGAATAGGTGTGTGCCACCGCGACAGATGAATGTCTTTCCCTCCCTCCCCCTTTCCTTTTCTTCCTTCCTTCCTTTCTTTCTTTCTTTTTTTTTTTTTTTTTTTTTTTTTTTTTGGTCTATGTCGCTATGGTTGTTCCGGGACTCACTATATTACATCAGGCTGACCTTGAACTCAGAGATCTGCCTGTCTCTGTCTTCCAGGTGCTGGGACTCGGCGTAAGCTCCTTTGTCAGGCCGATCATTAATCTTTTTGTTTTGTTTTTTTCGAGACAGGGTTTTCTGTATTGCTTTGGAGCCTATCCTGGAACTAGCTCTGTAGACCAGGCTGGCTTCGAACTCACATACATCCGCCTGCCTTTGCCTCGCGAGTGCTGGGATTAAAGGCGTTCGTCACCAACGCCTGGCCAAACATTAATCTTAAAAAGAAGAAAAATGTGGAATTGGTAGAGATATTCACTGCAGTATGATGCCTTACGCTGCAAATCCAAAACTTGGACGCCCAAAAAAGGAGTAACCTTTAACAGAGCGGTATCTCTTCCGCTCTCAGTGGCAGGAAACCCGGAGCCACCGGGAACGCACAGTACCCAGAAGGAGGCAGCATCCCTTTGCATAAGAAACATCACTACGGAGCCAGGCTAGGAGGCCACAACGCACCACACGCACGGGCCCTTTCTGCTTCTGCCTCATTCTAACTCTCGGAAGATCAAGGAAAAAAGTCGCGCGGCTCTGCTGGGGTTTCGCAGCGCGCGCCCTGCCCTTTCAACGGCTGCGCAGAGACGCACGGCAGCCATAGCGGACCCCTGTGCCGACCCAGCAGGAGGCACCGCGGGAACCGGCCGAGACGCTGGGAGGCGACCGAGCCTGGTGCTAGGGGGCGCTGCGGAAGCCGGTGGGGGGTGCGAGGCGGCGGCGGGGCCCGGAGCCAGGGGACGTTGTGCGCGGTCCCCCGCGCCCCTCCTCCCGCCCGACGCGCTGCTCGACCCCGCGGCCGCTGGAGGCGGGAGCGCGGAGCGAGCGCAGGAGCGCGCGGCGGTCCTGGCCCCCGCGGGAGCGCGGCTGCGGGGCCGAGCAGGGGCGGTGGGTGGGCAGGCCTCGGTCTTAGCCTGCGCTACGGCCCGCGCGCGGGCTGCGGTCCCCGGGGATGCAAGCGGTGGCGGCTCGGCCGGCAGGGTCCCGAGCGGCGCGGAGGCGTACGGTAACGGGCCAGCCGGGGTGCGGGCGATGACTCCTGCCTGCAGGCCGCGGGCGTTGCGGCCCCCGGGTGCCCACTGAGCTCGGAGGGCCGGAGGGGGCTGGGCTGGGAGACCCCGTGGCAGGTGCCTGCCCCAACGGTGACCCAGCTCCTGCTTCCCAGCTCCGCCCTCTTTGGCCGAGACCCAATCTCCAGGGGCTAAAAATATTGCCCGGAGGCTCCTGAGCGGAATCAGTTTGCGCTAAGTAGGACGCAGGCTGAGGTGACAGAGCTCTTCAGCACCAGGGCCCCCGAAGAGCAGACTCCAGGACGTGGTCCCGCCCACGCGCATTCATCAGCTAGCGTCCTCGCTCCGCCGACAGGCAAGTGGGGACCCGCGGGCGGTGACAGCGGGCACTGTGGGTCCTCTCGAGTTGTCTGTTACTGAGAAGCTGTTCCTGGTCTCCGCTACCCTGGGGACTTGCTGCTGGCTTCTCAGGAGTCCCTGAAAGCGCTCTGGAAGCCAGGGCTGGAAGTTTTGCACTGCAGGAATCAGTACTGACCCGGAGAATACTAGACTACTACTACAGGGTTGTTCGAGTCGTGAGCGTTTCTTCTTTAAAAAATCCATTCTGTATTCTTGCTGAGACAGGGTCTGGGCCAGGCACTGTTTGTGATGAGTAGTAGTCTGACCCAGGAGTAGAAAAGAGAGGCTTGCCTTTCTCTCCAGCCTCTAAGTCAAACAAAATAGAAGCCTTGGTTTTTTATTCATCTGAAGGGAGGAAACACATGGATAGGGAGTCTGGACAGGCATTCTTTGCGGTTAGAATCCTGAGCAAGCTGTTTGCAATCAGTGGTTTTTGTGATGAAGTGTGGGTCAGAGCTGGGGCTTTGTTATCCCTGCTTTTGTTTTTGTTTTTAATGTGTTACATCTATTTATTTGTGTGCATGTACGCCACAGAAAACGTGTAGCAATGAGAGGACAGTGTGTGGTAGTTGGTTTTTCTATTTGCATCATGTGAGTGAAATGGATAATCTTGGTTGTCAGGCTTGGCTGCAAGTGCCCTTACCTACTGAGCCGTCTCACCTGCCACACATACACCCCACATACACCCTGTATCCCGATTTTTTATAGCTCCGGTTGAGGGGAGGCAGAACTTCTGTCCTACAGGACCAGCCCCCAGATACAGGTGCTGCTTGCATGCTGGGAATCTCAACCAAGATTATTTGGTTGTTGGAAGCTCCCTTTCTTTTCACCAGTCAGGCACAAGTAGGTGCTCCTTGGGCATTCAGAGGCCATTCGATAGGAAGACCAACAGAAGGGTTTTGCATGCCAGAACCACAGATGGTGTCTCTCCTGCCAGGTTTGTGTGGGGCAGTATGAAGTTGAAAAAGCAGGTGACAGTGTGCGGGGCTGCCATCTTCTGTGTAGCAGTCTTCTCACTCTACCTGATGCTCGACCGGGTGCAGCACGACCCTGCCAGACACCAGAACGGTGGGAACTTCCCCAGGGTGAGTCAGCCACACCTTGTTCTCTCCTTCAGATGCAAGTCACACCTGGGCTTGGGCATCTCCCCAGCAGGAGAGCCGTGTCAGTCAGTATAGGATAAGAACACGTTCCTGCCCCATGGTCTTAGGGATTAGTCCAAAGCCTTGTGCATGCAGGCAGGATACATGATCTACAGCTGAGTTATGTATCCATAGCCCAGGAACACTCCTAGGCAGATCTGCCTTCTTTTTGGAGGTAGATGCCCAAGGGCTGGTGTTTGCTAAACACATTGCCCCACCACTGGGCTGTGCTCCTAGCCACGACAGGGAGTGGAAAGCAACAGTGGTGGAAGAAGAAAAGTGGCCATGTGTATAGCCACTCTGAGTTGAGTTCTTGGCAGACACTGTTAATTGACTTCAGTATTTCTTTTCCATTAAGTTGAATGCAATCCTCAGCACCATGCTTACTTGAGGCAGGAAGTACAGTCATTGAGCACAGGCAAAATGAAATGTTTGCCCTCCATGAGCTGGAGGGTGATGCTGCTTCCAAGCCAAGCGGATAGGGGTCTGCAAGAGTGATGTGTGGCCTTCATCCCCGTAGGCCCATGGTCTGACCTGGCCTAAGGAGAGTGAAATCAAGACCAGTCAGGCATCAGGTAGTGACCCCAAGCAGGAATTCTTCCTGTGACAGGGAGCTGTGAGTGATCACTTTCTGTTCTTATTTTTGGCAGAGCCAAATTTCTGTGCTGCAGAACCGGATCGAGCAGCTGGAACAGCTGTTGGAAGAAAACCATGAGATCATTAGCCACATCAAGGACTCTGTGCTGGAGCTGACAGCCAATGCAGAGGGCCCGCCAGCCCTCCTGCCCTACCATACAGCCAACGGCTCCTGGGCTGTGCTCCCAGAGCCCCGGCCCAGCTTCTTCGCTGTCTCCCCCCAAGACTGCCAGTTTGCTTTGGGGGGCAGGGGTCAGGAGCCAGAACTCCAGGTAAGAGCTGGTGCTGGCAGGGACTTCCTGTTGTTGCCCGTGGACACTGAGCCACATCTCCTCCTTGGCAGATGTTAACTGTGTTTGAGGACTTGCCGTTTGACAATGTGGATGGTGGCGCGTGGAGGCAAGGTTTTGACATCTCCTACAGCCCGAATGACTGGGACGCTGAAGACCTGCAGGTGTTTGTGGTACCCCACTCTCACAATGATCCAGGTGAAGGCCCAGCAAGCCCGGGCGTGAGGGTGGGGGGAAGGCTTTCTTATGTCAACCATAAAAAGGGATGCAGCTGAAGTATGTGGCATATTCAGGGGAACTTGTGTTGCCTCCCTCAGGCTGGATCAAGACTTTTGACAAGTACTACTTGGAACAAACCCAACACATACTTAACAGCATGGTGTCCAAGCTGCAGGAAGACCCCCGACGACGCTTTCTCTGGGCAGAAGTCTCCTTCTTTGCCAAGTGGTGGGACAACATCAGTGCCCAAAAAAAGGCAGCAGTTCGAAGGTCAGTGGTAGTTGGAAAGGCATGGGACAGTGGTTATCTGAGCCCTAGCTGGGTGGGTTGGTCTTGTCTCATTCTGTGAGTACCAAGCTTGTGAGTATTCTGTGGCTGGAGAAGGCCAATGCAGGCAGTCCCTGTCATCCTCTGGCTGCCAGAACCAAGCAAAGGGTTCCTGCCACATCCTGAGTGTGCCTTCTTCCTTAGGCTGGTGGGAAATGGGCAGCTGGAGATTGCAACAGGCGGGTGGGTGATGCCAGATGAGGCCAACTCCCATTACTTTGCCTTGGTTGACCAACTCATCGAAGGACACCAGTGGCTGGAGAGAAACCTGGGTAAGTCCACGAATGGAAGCCAGACTCTGCCCCAGACCTGGGCCTGAATGTTGTGGCAAGATGCTGTGAGGTACAGGGGTTGGTGGGGAGTTGTTCCTTTCTAGGCTCATGCAGCCTGTCTGATGGGCAAGGCAGGAGCTGGCCTCCGGGGCACTAAGAATCCAGAGACCAGTCCCTGAGGTATTCAGGGCCTTTGAAATCTGTGCTCTGCCCAGGTGCAACTCCTCGTTCTGGCTGGGCAGTGGACCCCTTTGGGTACAGCTCCACCATGCCTTACCTGCTGCGCCGTGCCAACCTGACCAGCATGCTGATTCAGAGGGTGCATTATGCCATTAAGAAGCACTTTGCTGCCACTCACAGCCTGGAGTTCATGTGGAGGCAGATGTGGGGTAAGGCCAAGTAGGGGCATGGGTGTTGTAGCTGTGGAGTCTTCACTGGGGAAGAGAAGGGTTATTAGAAACCTGCCCCTGTGGGCCCTAAGGGCAGACTGCCTGGAACAGCTCTTCTCTCCAGCTAGGAGGGTTGTGTTGACCCCTACTGGCTTCTGTGGGCACATATCCTGCAGGAGCTGTGGATTTGGGAGCCCCATGTCCTAGTCCCAGCCTGCGCATGCTCTACAGTCTTGAGTTAAACTAGAGCCTGAGTGTCTCAGGGTTGCTATGGACAACATGAATCTACACACTTGTGATGTCTGTGTCTGGCTGCTAACCCTGCCTGCCAGTGGCTGACCCTATGGGATGTCCTTCTCTTCTGCAGATACAGACTCCAGCACAGACATCTTTTGCCACATGATGCCCTTCTACAGCTACGATGTTCCACACACCTGTGGCCCTGATCCTAAGATCTGCTGCCAGTTTGATTTCAAACGTCTGCCGGGTGGGCGCATCAATTGCCCTTGGAAGGTGCCACCCCGGGCTATTACAGAGGCCAACGTGGCAGACAGGTATCTGCTGTCAGCCCTGCTTGGACAAGGTGTGGGGTGTGGGATTTTGAGCTGTGTCCCCCAGCAGTACTCAATCCTCCTGCCTTTGTCTCCTGAGAATGGGGTAACTGGTCTTTGCTACCACATCCAGCTGGTGTTGACATTTCCTCTTCAGAGGATTAGGCTGAAACCTGGCTTCTGGTCTTGGCTGAGCCATATAGGACTGCATGATGCTTGCCATACCCGGAAAGAAGGGTAGAGTCTGATGGAGAGTTTTGGTCACATATCTGCCTCCCTGGGGAATGGGAAGGGCACTTAGCTTCTTTCTCAGAATGCTTTTGCTTTCCTCGGTGACAATGTCTTCTGATGCCCTAATAGACTGGGAGGCATTCCCTGCCTCCACCCCCTTCTTTTCTTTTTGAGACAGGATCTCATATTTCAGGCTGGCTGGCTGGCCTCAAACATGCCTCCTTTTCCTGAGTGCTGGGTTACAAGCATGACTCACCACACCTGGTTTATGCCCAAATCAGGGGTGTGTGAAGCTGGGCAAGCACTCTACCAACTGAGCTACATCTCTAGCCCTAAACAGTTCTTCTCCTCCTCCTTCTCCTCCTTCTCCTCATCCTTCTCCTTCTCCTGAGATAGAATCTCACTATGTAGTTCTGGCTGTCTTGTGACTCAGTATGTAGACCAGGCTGCCCTCAAACCTGCAGAGATGTGCCTACCTTTGCTTCCCAAGTGCTGGTACTAAAGGCTTTCACCACTGTGCCTGGAACTTGCCCTAAACAGTTTTTACATTGCAATCATTTCTTGCAAACTTTCAGTTGCTATCCCTCATTTGACCCAGGTTCTCTGGGTCAGCTCCAGGTCAGACAGGTGAATCATCTGTTCACTAGGCCCAAATCCTGTTTAGACCCACCCAGTCTTGTCAGAGAGCTCTAGTCTCTGAGAAAAAAGACCTGTCCCTTCTAAAGGACCTTAAAGTTGTCATTGTGGCTAAAATTAGACCCCTACAAAAGTGTTGGTTAAGGTTGATCTAAATGTTACTTTAGCTAAAATGTTGAGAATGTGGTTAATAGCAGCAGTAGCAGTTTGTGCTTGCAATCCAAGCAAGCACTGAAAAAGCTACTTTTCTTTCTTTATTTTTCTGTTTTGGAGACAGTCTTGTCATGTAGCTCTGGCTTGCCCAGTACTCACTCTGTAGCTCAGGCTGACCTCAAACTTGCAACAGTCCTCCTACCTCAGCCTCCAGGTTTAGGTTTAGGATTACAGGCACATGATACTATACCTGGCAGGAAAAGGCCTCTAATGATATGTTGTAAGACTGTACTGGATAGATAATATGGATTAAAAAAAATAAATGTTCTCATATAGTTGAAGCAAGGCACCTTTGTGTGTATCAGGGGTTTTAGACAGAGTCTCATATAGCTGAGGCTGTCCTTGAACTTACTGTGTAGGTGAGGATGGGCTTGAACTACTGATACCCCAAAAGTGCTGGGATTACAGGCATGTGCTATCACATCCATCAGGAATTCTCTGTGTAGACCTGTCTGGCTTCAGACTTGGAACCTTCTTGCCTCAGCTTCCCAAGTACCGGGATTACAAGGATGTGCCACTGTGCCTAGCTTTTCATGGGATTTTTTTTTTCTTTTTCTTTTGTTAAGACAGGATCTCATTATGTAGTCCTGGCTGGCCTGGAACTCACTGTATAGATTAGGCTGACCTCATATATGATCTGCCTGCCTTCTGCCTCCCAGTGCTGAAGTTAAAAGCAAGTACCACCAGGCATAGTGTGCAAGAGTGTGGGCCCACATTTGTGGATGCATATCCAGATCTGTGAGTGTATATGGAGACCCAAGGTTGACATCAGAAATCTTTGCTTTCTCTCTACCTTATTCATTGAAAAAGTTTCTCAGCTGAACCCAGAGCTCATCTCTAGTATGGGCTAGTCTAGCTATGCAGCTTGCTCTGAGCCCTTCGATTACAGTCAGGCCTCTGTGTCCACTGGCATTTACATGTTTGTGGGGGTCCCAAATTGCAGTCCTCACACTTGTGTGACAAATATTTTTCCACTGAGCCACATCCCCGGCCCCTCTCACTGGGACTTCATGTTGGGCTTCTGTTACAGGGCAGCCCTGCTCCTGGACCAGTACCGGAAGAAGTCCCGGCTTTTCCGGAGCAATGTCCTCCTTGTGCCACTGGGCGATGACTTCCGATATGACAAGCCTCAGGAGTGGGATGCCCAGTTCTTCAACTACCAGCGGCTCTTTGACTTCCTCAACAGCAAGCCAGAGCTCCATGTGCAGGTGAGGGGCATGTGCAGATGGACCTGCAGCTACAATGCTGCAGCCTGGCCCTTCTGTACCAGCCCTGCTGCCGAGGGAGGGCTCCAGGTCATTCCCAATCCTAGGCAAGATTCCTGTGTGGGTCAGAATTCATTCCCAAGTTCCCCAGAAGAGCAGGACATACAGAGTTGCTGCCCTTCACTAGACAAAGTCCTCACCCCTGCCCACACCTGCAGCATTGTGGAATGGTGGCCAGAGATCCCAGGAGGCTCTGTAATTGATGGAAGCTTGTTTTGGGTCCCTACAGGCCCAGTTTGGGACCCTCTCTGAGTATTTTGATGCTCTCTATAAGAGGACAGGAGTGGAGCCTGGTGCCCGGCCTTCAGGGTTTCCTGTGCTGAGCGGGGATTTTTTCTCCTATGCTGACCGGGAGGACCACTACTGGACAGGCTATTATACTTCCCGGCCTTTCTATAAGAGCTTGGACCGAGTCCTAGAAGCCCACCTGCGGTGAGAACTGCCCACCTCCCCTTGCTGAGTTAACCTTTGAGGTGTAGGAGGGGTGGGCTATCAAGGGAGGATGCTTTCAGTGTGTGGGTAGGTTGAACATCACAGGAAGACTCTGACATTTTCCCTCTGGGTAGTGGGGCAGAGGTTCTATACAGCTTGGCTATGGCTCATGCCCGACGCTCTGGACTGTCTGGCCAGTACCCGCTGTCTGATTTTGCTCTTCTGATGGAAGCTCGGCGCACACTGGGGCTCTTCCAGCACCATGATGCCATCACCGGAACTGCAAAGGAGGCGGTGGTAGTAGACTATGGGGTCAGGTAGGAGCCACCCCACTCCCCTCACAATTTCAAAGACAGGATATGTGGGTGATTGGTGGCTGGGCTACTGAGGGCTGGTCCTGCTGGCATGGCAGACAGCCTCCCCATGACCATCTTCTCTCAGCTTTCTCTCACACCCACCACAGGCTGCTGCGGTCCTTGGTTAGCCTGAAGCAGGTCATCATCAATGCTGCTCACTATCTGGTGCTGGGCAACAAGAAGACCTACGAATTTGACCCCGGGACACCCTTCCTCCAAATGGTGAGCCCCTCCTACATCTGATTGAGAGATCTTGTGGTGTGGGTGGTCCTGCCTCAAGAGCTGCTATTGGTGGGTACTGTTCCTTCCTTCCTTGTTTTGGGGTACAAATTCCAAGCTCCAGGTAGTTGGTGGCCTGGACAGGTTAGGGTGGGGAGGAGGCTGAGCCCACTCATCATTCTTTGTTCCTGCTCACGTCATCGCAGGATGAGAGTCATTTAAGTCACGATGCCCTGCCAGAGCGCACAGTGATCCAGCTGGATTCCTCACCCAGGTGAGCCAGGCCTGGCTGGGTTCCCAGAGGCTCCCTGCAGCTCCCCGCAGTACAGGAGGCCCTTGTTCTCCCTGCTGCTTCTGTCCTGCCCCTGCAGCAAGCTCCTGGGTCAGTCAACCTTCCACCCACAGGTTTGTGGTGCTCTTTAACCCGCTGGAACAGGAGCGGCTCAGTGTGGTGTCACTGCTGGTGAACTCCCCAAGGGTGCGAGTCCTTTCAGAGGAGGGTCAGCCCCTGTCTGTGCAGATCAGTGTACACTGGGGCTCGGCCACTAACGTGCTCCCTGATGTCTACCAGGTGAGGTGGGCTCAGCCCTCCCTGCTTGTCGGTACCTCTCCTGGGGCCTCACTCCCCGTGGTTACCTGCTTCCCACTCCTCCGCTGTGCTCTGCTCTCCCCCCAGGATGGAGGCAGGTGGCTTGGAGAGAGGCATTGCCTGAAGGATAGTCACTCTTGGGATTTGAGTATCTTTAAAAGGATGGTGAGGACCCTGTGGTGATAATTATACTGCAGATGGCAACAACAGTGCCCTCAGCTGCTCAACAAGTATTTCTCGTTCACTTCATTGTGATGCGGCCTTGTACATTGCCCAGCCTGGTCTCTAATTCCTGGACACAAGCTTCTAATGATGATTCATTGTGTTGACTTACTATGTATTTCAGATATACTTCATGGCAGGCACTGCTATAAGTGCTTAAATATCCAATTCATTCAAAATTAAAAAAAAAAAAAAAAACCTGTGTAGTTCAGGTTGGGGTCAAACTTGCTGTCCTGACTGTTAGATACAATGATGTACCATCACTCCTGGCTTTCATTAAAGTCTTCCAAGTGTACCTAGTGATTCAATCCTCGTTTCACCAGAAACAGAGGTCCAGAGAGGTTAAGGGACTTGCCTAAGGTCGCTCAGAGAGTTTGTGAAGCCTGCGAAAGACCTTAGGTTCTCAGCTGAGTTGCAGAATGATACTGCAACTCAGAACCAATATCCTAGAACAGACAGGATTTTTCAAATAGAGATGTAAGGTTTCACACCGGCTTCAGAAAACTGAATGCGGAGGTCAAGGGGGAAGAGAGAAGCTGCTTGTGTGGACTGACGTTCTATGCTTCTTTCTGCCCCGGGGCCCACAGGTGTCCGTGCCCATCCGCCTGCCAGCCCTGGGCCTGAGTGTGCTGCAGCTGCAGTCAGATCTCGATGGGCCCTACACACTGCCGTCCTCCGTAAGGCTCTACCTGAATGGTGAGAAGCTGTCGGTCAGAAGGCAAGCAGCATTCCCTCTCCATGTCATGGACTCCAGCACCAGTGACTTTACCATCAGCAATCACTACATGCAGGTCTGGTTCTCCGGCCTTACTGGGCTCCTCAAGGTAAAGGGCCAGGCCAGGGGTGGTGGGGAGGGACCAGAGGAGGGAGGGCATGGGCATCAGGGAGCTTGTGTACTGCTGTTCCTGGCCCCATGTGCCTCCTATCGCCTGACTCACAGAGACTTGGATGGGAGCATTAGCAGCTCTCAAGCTAACAGCATGGCAATGCTGAGTGTGTTAATGATCTGCTACTGTGTCTGCAACTTGTAAAGAAGAGGTTTATTTCTGCTCACAGTTTGTGAGCTTTGATCCTATAGTTAGGCAGACCCATTGCTTTTGGGCCTGTAGTTAGGCAGCATGTCATGGCAGGGAACACATCTTAGTGAAGTAAATTACTTCACGACCAGCATGCAGAGGTTGGGTGCTGTGGTGCAGACCTGTAATTTCAGCAGTGAAGTGGGTAGAAGCAAGAGGAGCAGAAGGTCAAGGTCATCTTTGACTGCATAGCAAGTTTGAGGGCAACCTGAACTACATGAGATCCTTGTCTCAAAAAAGTTTAAAGAAAGTAGCCGGGCAGTGGTGGCCCACGCCTTTAATCTCAGCCCTCGGGAGGCAGAGGCAGGCACATCTCTGTGAGTTCAAGGCCAGCCTGGTCTACAGATTGAGCTCTAAGACAGAGAAACCCTGTCAAAGGGAAGAAGGAAGGAAAGAAGAAAGGAAGGGAGGACGGGAGGAAGGGAGGGAGTGAGAAAGAAAAAAAGTAGAAGGGAGGAAGGGAAGTGATAGAGTCCCACTGTCCCCAACCTCACCTAGTAGCAGCAGTCTGGGGACAAGCCCTTAACACACAGACCTTATGGAGGACCAACTGCAGCACTGGGCTTGGCTCCGTGGGGGAAGTCAGTCCATGCCCTCCCAGGGGGAGACCTGACATGCTGGTGTGGGGCCAGGGGTCAGGGCTGTGTTTTTTGACAGAGCATCCGAAGGGTGGATGAGGAGCACGAAGAGAAGATGGACATGAAGCTCTTCATCTATGGTACCCGGACATCCAAAGATAAGAGTGGTGCCTACCTCTTCCTGCCCGATGGCGAGGCTCAGGTACCTGAGATGCCCCACAGAACCTGGTGGGCCTTGTGGGTGGGGAGATCCCGGGATGTGGCATCCCTTCTGTGAGCCCTGCCTACTGTGTCCTGCCCTCCTGTTCTTGTCTTCGTCGCCTTGTGGAGGTTGGTGGGCTGTGGCCTCAACCACGGTTCTGGGCCTGGTCAGCACAGGTGGTCAGGCCGGAGCACTGGAACAAGGACTTCTGTTGCCCCCTCTGGGTTGGTACTGTTACTTTGGACTCTGTGCTGTGGGTTCAGTGGCCACTTGCTCTTTTTCCAGCCCTACGACCCCAAGAAGCCCCCTGTGCTGCGTGTCACCGAAGGCCCATTCTTCTCAGAGGTGGTTGCGTATTATGAACACTTTCACCAAGTGGTTCGACTTTACAACCTGCCAGGTGAGCCCTGCAGGAGGGGGCGGTCACAGGGAGCTGTGAGTCCCACAGTCCATCTCTATTGACAAGCAGATGTGCCATTTGACATGGGATGCTTGACCTCTTGAGGAAAAATCCAATCAACGTGCCCTGGGAGCTCCCAGGAGGAGGGCGGGGAGAAGCTTCCCTGGCATAGTCTCTCACAGTCACCCCCCTCTGGCTGCCCCTGTGTCCAGGGGTAGAGGGGTTGTCTCTGGACATGGCATTCCTGGTAGACATCAGAGACTACGTGAACAAAGAGCTGGCCCTACGCATCCACACGGACATTGACAGCAAGGGCACCTTCTTCACAGACCTCAATGGCTTTCAGGTGATTCTTGGGCTCTGAATCAGAACTCGGAATGCTTTTGGCCTCCCAATATAGGTGCTGTGGGGAGGGTGCCAAGGACTGGTGGCAGGTATGGGGCCAGTGAGATGGCTCAGTGGGTAAAGGCTCTTGGCCAGGCCTGGCAACCCGAGTTCAATTCTGGAACCCTGATAAAGGTTGAAGGCGAGGACCAATTCCAAAGAGTTCTCCACTGACGTCCACATGTGTGCTGTGGCATATATACCTGTGCACACACATTATACACATAAACACACACACACAAGAATAGCTGGGCAGTGATGGTGCACACCTTTGATCTCAGCACTTAGGAGGCAGAGGCAGGTAGATCTCCAAGTTCCAGGTCAGCCTGGGCTACACAGGGAAACCCTGTATCAAACACAAACAAAAACAACAAAAACAAAACAAAATAATAACCAGGAATGCTTTCACACTGAGAAGCTTTCAGAACACAAATCAGACACCATTCCTAGCTGGCCTTGAACTCCTCCCGACAGGTACAGCCCCGGCGGTATCTAAAGAAGTTGCCCCTGCAGGCTAACTTTTACCCCATGCCAGTCATGGCCTACATCCAAGATGCACAGAGGCGCCTCACGCTGCACACTGCACAGGCTCTGGGTGTCTCCAGCCTCAGTGATGGTGAGTAGGGAATCAGCCTACCCTTTGTTTCAGCCAGTCCATTTTGTCGACTGGGGGAAGGGCTTCCTTCTCCTCTCTCTAAGACCCCATCACCCCAAAGTTTGAGAAGGGGCGAGCCATCCACAGCTCCTGTCAGTCACACTGAAGCATCCTATCCTTTGGGGGGGGGGAGCAGTGGGTATTGAAGGGTTATTCTCAGCTGAGGGGTGCAGCTTTTTTCATTTTTATTTATTTATTTTTAATTTTGAGATAGGGTTTCTCTGTAGCCTCGGCTGTTCTGAAACTTGCTCTTTAGACCAGATTGGCCTCAAACTCATAGAGATGTGCCTGCCTCTGCCTCTGCCTCCTGAGTGCTGAGATTAAAGGCAGGACCACTACAGGGAAGGTGGTTACAGTGTAATATTTAGGAAAGGGGAAATATACATATCTCCTCCTAAAAGTCAGTAAAAGAAAGGCTGACACTCTTACTAATCAAATGAATGTCTCTAAGCCTAGCAGCATAGACATGTGACCCCAGCTCCTTGGAGGCTGAGGTAGGAGGATCCTAAATCCAAGCTCGGTCTGGGCAACTTAGTAAGACTTTGTCGTCTGTAGACTTAGCTTTGTGATGGAACACTCACAGAGTATGAGCAAAGTGTGAGGTTCCCTCCTCAGAACTGGAGAGAGTGAGACAGTTGTGAAAGCTCCCCCCCCTCCACCACCCCCACATGATCTCCATAGCCTTGGGACAAGGTGAGCAGTGATTTATGGACTCTCAGGCCCTAGAGGTCTTTCTGTCTGTGGGGTATAGAGATTGTGAGGGCTGCACTGAGTGCAGGATTAAGGCTATGCCACAATGGTGGTGAGTGTTGTGCCTGCTTCCTGTATGGGAGGAGTGTGGCTCTCCTGTCCTCTTCCAGGATTTTTTGGGGGTCTGTCTGTCTCAAAACTCCTGAATGCAGCCCATTGTCCTTGCTCAGTCAGCTGTCTTCCCCTCTGGGACATAGGGCATTAAGGAATGATTATGTTCTAAGCACAGAACCTATTTTAGGATTGGGGATAGATTCCTGTGTCTGCTTAGAGTACAAAGCCAAAGAGACTACGGAAATGAGAGTAAGGAGTATGGAGATGAAAGGGAACTGAGCCTTCTGTGGGGAAAGTTGTCGTGGGTCACTGTGGTGAAAGCCTCCCTTTCCTCATACCCATCTGTCAACTTTGCAGTGGGACCCTACCCAAGCATAGTCCAAATAGGAACAGAGGTGGTCGCCTTCTGTCTCTTACTGGAGGCTTTGCTGAGCCTCACCACAGCCTGCTTCTGACAGACAAGGCCACCCACTCCAGTCTGGACTGCTGGGCCTTCTAGCTGATGCCAGGTAGAGCAGAAACAAGAGAGCATGTGTCAGTCATGAGCCTGCCCAGCCTGAGAAAGCCCTCCTCAGATGAGGGACTCTGCAGCAGTATGGCAGACAGGCTTCTCTCAGACTTCCAGCTGCTGTTTCCTGTGTTCTGTGTGGCCTGTCCCCAAGAGGTTTTCTGCTGGTGAACCTACCATGGTCAGCACTCCCCTTTCTAGGCCTCCTGTGTCTTCACCTAGAGAAGTAAGGCCAGACATCTACACTGCTCTCCTGGTACTAGAGTCCATCTGTCATTCTCTCCTCTGAGTGACTCAGCCTGTCTGTGTCACTGGTCTTTCCCCTGAGTGCCTGAGATGGAGTGTCTGCTGTCAAGGCCTGTGTTTGCTTAGACATGGGCTTGGCAAGCTGGAGCTCACTGTTAACTTCCCTAGGCCAGCTGGAGGTGATCTTGGACCGACGGCTAATGCAGGATGACAACCGGGGTCTGGGCCAAGGGCTCAAAGACAACAAGATCACCTGCAACCGCTTCCGACTCCTGTTAGAACGGCGAACCATGAGCCGTGAGGTAAAATCTGGGCCCATTGTCTGGTGAGCTAATGTAGGTTCAGCCCTGTGGGTGGTCCTGTGCGTTCCCAAATGTAGCTGGAGGAGGGCAGAGGGCAGACAGTACAGCTTATTTCCTGCATTGAGCCAGGAGGCTATATGGCATTTGCTGACCCATCTCATGTAGCTTGGCAGTCTCTTCCCCAGCCACACCCTGTCACCTTGCCCCTGTCATGTTGTCTTCTGCCTTTGTCTTTGCTACCCTTATCTTCTGTCCTCCAGCCTGAGCATTTCCTAACCTTGACACAACCCTGCTCATCTCTTGGCTTTCTTTACCTCACCAGCCTGGTTTTTTCTCCAAACTGGCAGCCATGTTTAGGGACTTGATTTTTTCCAGCAACACAATCAGGAGCCCAAAGGTAAGGGTCAGGGAGGGCCTTGGTAGCCTAGGTTAGTTGGAGTCTGCTGCCTAGCACCCTGCAGGTGTGGCTTAGTCACTTATTCCTTATGTAGATGCTGAGCCCTTGCTGTGCTATGGGAACTAAAGGATATGGGCCAATGTGCCCTACTAGTGAGCAGGGTTGGGGAGCTGCTCTGAGTGTAAGGGTTAGGGTAGAAATGGGGTCTCCTTGGGCCTGTGGCGCCAAGGCAACGTGGGCTGAAGAGGTGAAAGATGGCTTCCTGAAACAGCGGTCACCAGGCTCAGCTTTAATGAGTGGGAACCATGCATAAAGTAGAAGGCAGCGACGACAGGTGAAAGGGAGACTAGTTGTGACTTTAGGATAGAGCAGTGCTGACCAACATGGCAGCCACCATCCACATGTGCTTGCCATTTTTTGATACTTGGCTTGAAGGCTTTGCACATGGTAGGCAAATGTCCTGTCACTAAGCTAAGTCTCCAGTTAAGTTTTTTTTGTTTTAGGTTTGTGTTGTTGTTGTTGTTGTTGGTGGTGGTGGTGTGTGTGTGTGTGTGTTTGTGTGTGGGTGTATGAGACAGGGTCTTATGTAGCTTAGGCTGCCCTCTTGATCTAGTGAGGATAACCTCAGGGTTATCTTTGGTTAACTTTTGGTTTTGGTTTCACTGTTGCCTAGGCTGGCTTTGAACTCCTGAGTTCAGGTGAGCCTCTAGTCTCAGCCTCCCAAGTAGCTAAGACTATAGACATATGCCACTATGCTCAGTTACCTGTGCCTGTTTACTTGTATTTTTGAGACAGGGTCTCATGTAGCCCAGGCTAGCCTTCATCCTCCTGCCTCTATTTCCCAAGGGTTAGAATTATAGGAGTATATCACTATGCTTAGCTTTTTTTTATTAATATGTAGCTACTCAAATGAATTAAGTTGAAATAAGTTGAGGTTGTCATTCACATTAATGACATTCTTTGGGCCAGGTGTGGTGGCATTCAGGAGATAGAGGTAGGTGGATCTCTATGAGGGTGAAGCCTGGTTAAGGCAGCTGATACTATATCATAAGATCTTGTCTCAGAACAATAAAAAATTATAGGGAGCTGAAGAGATGGCTCAGTGGTTAAGAGCACTGACTGCTCTGCCAGAGGACCTAGGTTTGGTCCTCAACACTCATGGGGAAGGCAGCTTAGAGCCATCTATAATTCCAGTTCAAGGGACATAGTGTGTTCTTCTGATCTCCTGCATATATGAAGTGTACAGACATATATGCAGGCATCCCCCCCACACACTAATAATAATCAGTTTTTTAAAAATTACATTTAAGTCCCCATTGGTTCCAGGTGGTCAGCAGCTATCTCAGAAGGCATGGCAGATGGTGTTTCTGTTATTCTAGAAAACTCCATGAGCCAGTGCTGGGCGAAAGCATGGTGGGAGGAAGGGGCAAAGCAGACTGCAGAGATCTCGAGTGCCTGGCCAGAGTCTGGAGACCATGGAAGGTCTTGAGTAGGGAGGGGTGCCATCAGGGTTTGCCCTCGGCTCTCAGGACTGCAAGCGGCAGAGTGACTATGGGAAGACAAGGTAGAGATGACAGTTTCAAGATGTTGAAACAGGAAGCCTTAGTGACGTGAACTAAGCCATGGGTAGGAAAATGAAGTTGAGTGACAGTCTGTTGAAAACATTGCAGAAGCAAAATGGAAGAGGACTGCCTGGGCTTGAAGGGTGAAGGGAGACTGTATGGGGCACTCAGAGGGTGGTGCCGACTCAGGATCAGCATACAGAAATGGAGTGGCTATGGAGAACAGTCCCATGCAAGCCTGTGAATGTGGTATCCTAGGAGCCACCTGAGTGGTCTTACCAGCTCAGGTAGACGTGAGTGTCAGGCTGGCACTGTGGATGTGGCATCTTAGTTAAAACACTGTCACTACCCAAAGACTGTCCATAGTGAAACATGTCTGTCTGTTGTCCATTCCTACATCTCGCTGTGTGGGGTGACAGCATTAATGAGAGTACATTCTTAGTACCACGACCCTCTCGAAGTTGCGTGCCATGGTAAGTAGCCACTCATGAAGGGTTGGAGGTCTGGGGCCTGGAACCAGGCAGCCAGAGTCCAGTTGAACCAGGAACGCTGTTCTGATCTGGCTTGTCCCCTCTTCACCCGTTAGCCTGGCTCTGCTCTCCCTCACCCACAGTGTGGTTCCATCTTGCAGGTCCAAGATGAGCGTTCTACCAGCTACCCATCCCTCCTCAGCCACCTGACCTCCATGTACCTCAATACACCTCCGCTCGCCTTGCCTGTGGCCAAAAAGCAGGTCACCAGCTCTACTCTGCGCTCTTTCCACCCTCTGGCTTCCTCGCTGCCCTGTGACTTCCACCTGCTCAATCTGCGCACGATCCCGGCTGAGGTAAGTGTTCCAGTGGGTGCTAAGCCTCACCGTCAGGTTCTGGCCTCCCCCCACCTCTTCCTTCTGTTTGGCCTTGCCCTCTGGGCGGAAGTGCTGCCAACCCTCCATTGCCCTTGCTCCTGACTGTCTTCCAGGACACCTCGCCTTCAGCTGATACCGCACTCATCTTGCACCGCAAGGGTTTTGACTGTGGCCTTGAGGCCAAGAACTTGGGCTTCAATTGTACCACAAGCCAAGGCAAGGTGAGCAGAGCCCAGGTGTGGGAAGCAGGGCCCCTTGCCAGGACGGTGACGCTGGGCTTTCTGCAGTAGCAGAGCTGAGAGCTTAGAGGGAGGCTAGACTGGGGCTTGGCAGTAGGATGAGAGGAGAAGGTGGGACCTCAGGGCTACCCAGGGACAGAGGGGGAGGCTGAGTGTTTTTGTATTGAGTTGGGCAAGAGCAGTTTCAGATAAGGCACGAAACTAGAAAACCAGAGGAAGGGCCTGTACTGAGCAAAGTGGGAAACGAGATATGAAAAGCTGCTGCCCCTTTCGAAGCATTAGTCATGGTGTCTGCTGGCAGTGGCTTGCTCTGGTGACTCAAGTGAACCTAGACACAGCCCTTGTTCTCAAACACAGCGTGGTGTAACAGTTCCTGCACCGAGGTGCCTGGACAGACCCCAGACTTGAGTAGATTGCACCAAAGCCCTATCAGAGGCCTGTTGCTTCTGAGAAGACTGTAGCTTCTTTAAGATCATTTCCTTCTTATTTTTTTTTATATCTGTTTATCTTATTTTTATTTTTGAGACAAGGGCTTATGTAGGTTGGATACAACCTTGCTATGAGCCAAAGCTGAGTTGAACTCCTGAGCCACCTGACTCTGCCTCCCAAGACAGTCGTGTGTCACCATCTGAGCGCTGCTTTACATGTAAGGATCTGACAGAGCACTAGGTGTGGCAGCTCACAATATAACCCCAGCACTCAGGAGACTGAAGCAGGATTGGTGTGTGTTTGAGGGCAGCCTTGATTACTGTGTGAGACCCTGTCTTAACACAAAACTAAAAGGTAGTACTTGATGTAAGAAAGAACTTAACCCAGTGTTAGCAGTGGCCGGCTCAGCCTGTCTCTTCTCTCTTCACAGCTGGTCCTGGGAAGCCTCTTCCGTGGCCTGGATGTGGTATTCCTGCAGCCAACCTCATTGACTTTGCTGTACCCTCTGGCCTCACCTTCCAATAGCACTGACATTTTCCTGGAGCCCATGGAGATTGGCACCTTCCGCCTCCGCTTGGGTTAGGTTAGGGCTTCTTGTGGCCTGAAGAGAAAGTTTATCCACAGAGACCATCTCTTTATACCAAGATCAGGTTGAACAAGCCATACTGGTATCACCTCCCATTCTGCCTCTCAGACCTGTGACAAACTGGGCTCTGCCCTTCCATTGTCTATTGCTGCGTCTGTGTTTGGGAACCACCTGTCAGTGGTAAGCAGATGCCAGTGAGACAGGGAGAGGAGGTTCTCTGGGTTGTGAGTAGGTGCCCAGCAGGGCACAGGCTCAGGCTCCCATCCTTTTCCCGAAATGGGATGTAGGAAGAGTGGAAGCAAACAGAAGAGGTCAAGGAGGCTGAGAGAACAACCCAGTGCCAGGCAACTGCAGTTATGAGCTAGCTCTAGGGGCCTATGGTGACATAGACCCCGCATGCCCTGCTGTGAGGCACAGGAGCAGGATGACTCTGGGAAAAGGGGCATGGAGACTCATTATTAGTGGAATAGAGGAGCGGAATGGGTCCCCAGCTCTCCCAAGGGCCTAAGGCTTTGCTGCTTTCTGCTCTGCCTCTGCTTTTAGTCCCACTGGGCCTGTATGCCCTGGCTAATGACTGCTGGGTGACAGGAAGGACTGAGACTCTAAATGAAGGCCAGAGAACACTTGAGGTGCCCATACCCATTCTACACTGGCCACTTGGTGATGGCAGGCGTGGGAAGTGTCTTCCCGTCTGCTGCTTTATGTCACATACCACTCTCCTCACCAGTCCCCATCACAAGGTTCCTGGCAAAGTTCCTTTCCCTAGAAAGGAAATGGAGCTTCCAAGACGCCTGTGCTTGGGCAGCTTGGGAAACTGTCATGCTGGGTCCAGTGGCAGGTGGAGGAGGTTCATCTTTGTTCCATCTGCAGAAATATTACCTTCCTGGTATGTGGGATGAAGGAGATGGAGACAAAATTAGGAGGCTGAATGCTCCGATGAGCCTTCATTTTACCTTCAGTTAGTAGAGAATTTGTCTATAAATGATGAAAAGAGGGTTGGTAAAAGTGAAACTCCACCCCTTATGAAAACTTAGTAAGCCAAGACTAGGAAGAAGCATCACTCTAGTTAAAGGTCCCCGTCATCAGTAACCTATAGCACCCAAAGAACCAAACAGCACAGACACTCTCTTGAGAGTCAGAAACTAGCCTGGGGCATGCTGTTACTAAGCAGGGTCCCCGTGTCACTAACCCCTGCAATTCAGCAGATGGCGACAAGGAAGAACCATGACTGCCACTGTTTTTAAACCATAAGCTACCTAAGAAACCAGTGTCGACTAAAGACTCAGCAAGGTGTTCTGTGAGTGGCCTGAGTGCTGTCCCTGCTCCTGTAAACACCGGTTCTTCCCAAATCAGCCCATAAAAATCAGTGTAATTCCAGCAAGAGTGGAGATTTCTTGGAATCCTGCCAGTTCTGACATCGTTTAGAGGAGTACAGGATGTGGGTATGAATGGCAGTGGTAATGTATGGCTGGTGGTCCCAAGGTGGGCAAAGGGCACTTGTCTTACAGAGTCCTCAAAGGCTTGGATTCTTCTGCCACCATGAGTTTAGTCAACATGTAGGTCAGAGAGACAGACCCAGGCACCCAGAAAGGTGCGTATGATTTCAAGTGCAGGGATGGGAGATGGAGTGTGTAATAAGTAGTTCTTTGAGACAGCTAGCTGTTAGTTAAAACTCTACCTCAGTTTCCCAAAAATTAGCTCTGATGGGAAAAAACAAAATATTATTCAAGAAACACACACACACACACACACATCACTATGTAGCTCTGACTGTCCTGGAACTCACTGTGTAGACTAAGCCAGCCTCAAAAATCACAGAGATCCCCACTTGCTTCTGCCTCTGGGACTAAAGGCATACGCCACCACACCCAGCAAGAAAATATATTTTTAAACCTGATGTAGGGAGGTTTTTTCTTAGACATAACATGAAACCTTAACAGGTAATAGGGGAAAAGAGTAAAACAGGTTTTGCCACAAAAAATAATAAAAGCATGTTATAGGAAACAGGTTAAAATACAGCTGTGCATGTGTTTGCAGTGAATGGTCACTGCAGGACAAAAGCCTGCTTTGGCTCCTCAGAGAATGTCACTCGGGTCTGCCCAGCAGTCACCCAAACACCCAGTAGTGACAGGGCTGAGTTCTTGCAGGTCCTCCAGACTACATGTAGCCCGGCTCAGGCCACATGGATTCCTAGTCATGCTTTGGTGAAAGAAATAAGGTGATGAGTAGGAAGTGCTTAGCATAGAGCCTGGGCTATAGACAACTGTAGGCAGAAGTTTCTGTCCCAACTGCCTAAACATGTTAGGAAAGAATGTGAAGCCACAGCTATAGCAAATGTTTTTGCCGGTATATGGTTTGTAGAAATGATAGGGGAGACTCTGTGGACCCTAGGAAATTAGCAGAGTAAAGGGTATTCATTGGAGGTGTTAGATGTAAAGTTTTGGGGGAGTGGTTCTTGTAGTGTATCCCAGGCTAACCCAGACTTGCCATAGAGAAGCAGTCTGGACTTGAACTTGTCATCTTCCTACCTCTGCTGCCCACATGCTGGGCTCATATGTATACACCATATGCCCTGCTGGTGTTTACATATTTAAATATTGCTTAGAGCAGTATTGTTCAGAATGTCCAGTCAGCAGAGTTGCTTCTAGAAAGTGCAGGTTTCTGTCCTGTCCTGTCCTGTCCTGTCCTGTCCTGCATAGGGCTGTTTCTTCAGTCTGTGCTGCAGTGATGTGTGGGCAGGGCCACATGTAACAGAGCACAGGAGGAAAAAGCCAACTCCTGGTGTAGCCTTTGAAGCAATCTCTGGGATCAGGGCCAAAGAATTTCCTTTGTTTTTGGGGGGTTTTATTTGTTTTGAGGTTTTTTGTTTTTGGGGCTCTTTTGTTTTCTGAGACAGGTAGCACAAGCTGGCCTCCAGCTTAAAGAGATCCTCCTGCCTCAACCTCTCAAGTGTGGAATTACAGGTGCATGCCACCATAACCTGGCTCAAATTGGACTCAGTAATGGCCCAGTGCATGCATACTATTTAAAGGCAAGCAGCAGCCCTTGTCCAGAGCTCTGTCACTGAGACCTTGCAGGTATTAGGAGAACAATCTACGGAACCAGGACACAACAAAACAACCTCAGTCACCAGAAAGGGAAGGACGTCCTCACTGACACATCCAATTGCATGAAGAGGAAAGGGCTGAGTGGCTAGCTGGGAGCACAGAGAGAAAGTATAAGGTGCTTCATCCTCTTACAGGGAGTCCAGGTTCACAGAGGGTCGGGATGTGCCTTCCCCAGGGCCTGAAGAGAAAGAAACAGGAATTCTGGACAGCAGCATCTCTAACTTCAACTGCAACTGCTTGGAACTGTCCTGGTGGCTAAGAAGCTAGGTACTTACTTTGTGAAGCTAGGTACTTACGTTCCAGCTACTCTGGGGCAGATGCAGGAGTTTAGAGCCAGCTTGAGCAACCCCATCTCAAACAAACACTAGCTGTCAAACTACACTACCTTCCCACACACACACAAAGGGGAAAATTATGTAGTGAAGGTGAGACTTGCAGTATGACTAGAGAGCTCTGAAAATTTGTGTTATCTCCTAACAAAAATGTGTGTAAAGGCAAGTTTCACACAGAGATGACGGGAGAGACTGCATCTTCCACCAGGCCCAGCAGGAAGTAAAGTCCAAATCATAACAGTTGTTAGGAGCAACTGGGTCCCCTCCAGCTCCCGACTTTGGATTCCCTGGTTAATTAGGATAGCCTGCACATAGGAAGCCCAAGGTGAGCTGGTGATGATGACTTCTTACCATGTTCAGTGTGACACATTTGAAGATTAGAGGTAATGGCAGGTGAGAAAGTCCCTTGGAGGAAGAAACACCTGGGTTTCTTGTAAGCATTGCATGCTGTAGTTTGAATATGTGTGTGCCTCTGTCATTCAGTGAAATACTATTGAGAGGGAGGACCTGTGGGAGGAGGTTCATTCATATGGGTTCCTCACCAGTGTAGGGGGATGGTGGCCATTTTAAAAGGAAAGAGGCCAGGCTTCGTGGTGCATGCCTTTAATGCCAGCACTCAGGAGGCAGAGGTAGATGGGTTTGAAGGTATAGTTCAAAGTAATGAAGCTCACTGTGCCCGGGAGATGAATTATGTCCCACCCAAAGGTTCTCCTAACCTGCCTCCTTCCTGTTTGCTCTGAACATCACTCAGAGGTCAAAAATGAACACCCAGGCTTGTCTATTAGAGATGCTAGGGGGAGGGGGAGCGGGATCAGAACAGCCAAAGATATCCACATGAGCAGCTCACCTAAAGGAGAAGCAGGAAGACTGCACACTGTGCCAAAGGCAAAGGCGAAGCAGGAAGGCCCAGCCTTGGGAGGCCAATGGCCTTAAATAGTAACGCACCAGAAGAGGGCGAAGGACTGCCCTGTAAAGTGTGCGCATGCGTTCAGGCAGCTCTCTTGCTAAGAATGGGAAATTGAAGTGCAGCTCAACTTTAGCTTCAGTGTAAAAACTATAGATTCTTGTGTGGCTGATGAGATGCCTTCAAGGAGTCTGAGCATGGTTGTGCAGTGAGTAACCCCAGCAGAGGCAGGAAGATCGTCGACCTTTGCATGTCAGCCTGAGCTGCGTGAGATCCTATCCCCCGCCCCTCAAATTAAAAAATAAGGGGCAGGCGAAGGCGAGATAGCTCGCTAGGTAAAGGCACAAGCCTGCCAGGCCCCACAAACTGAGTTCGAATTCTCGGACTCACACGATGAAAGGCAAAACCCAACTTCCACAGAATTGTGGTCTGATTGCCACACCTATATTGGGACGTTCGCACGCCCGCACACACAAACACAAAAATATAACCAAAGGAAAAAAATCAGCAGTTTATGGACACCTCCGCTTCCCCTCCCCGCCTCAAAAAGAGCTGGCGGACGCTCCTGGAGAGTTTGTCCCTCTCTACCACAACCTCCTCCAGACTCCACCCACCTCCACCGGAAGGGCAAGGCCAGGGCCACTTCCGAGCGCCCCGGAAGCTCTTGCCTCTTAGCGACCCAGGAAACGATCAATCTTTAAGCGTCAAGGTTTAGACTATGAATTACTGAGCACTCGCTGCAGTTAGTGTACGGGGGAACTTTTCACGTTACTGGGATTTCTGTTCTTCCCAGCTATAAGTGGTGGCATTCCTTACCAGTATATTTGCGCTAGGGGAACTTTCCAGATCACTGACCTATATATATCTGACCTCATAACAACCCAGCTCAGTGATAAGGACACTATGCTCCAAGAGTCATAGTTGGAAGCGAGTATCTGGGGTGCAGGCTCTTCACTCAGGAGACCAGGGGAGGAGGAACAGCAATTTAAACTTTACCCTAAGTACTTTATTTTCCATGGCTTATGAACCAAAACTTACACAATCCCAAGTCCCAACATGTAAAATAGCAAACAGACCCAAGACTTGAGGAAAGGCTCTGAGTACATGGGTATATCTGATTTCCGTACTTGGGGCTCTGCTGAAGAAAACGCAGACGTTTTTTTTGGCCTGTAATGTATGCTCCGGGTGTAGGAATGTGAGAGATGGGGAGACTCTGAAATGCTACAGTAAGAATCCCATCTTGCTGAGCCTTGCTGGAGCCATGCCATAGGACATCACCAAACACCGCTCAAAGAGTCAGCCCTCGCTCCTCGAACAGCTGCTTTAGTGCCTCTTCTAGTTGCTGGTTCGTTCCTTGAAGCCCCTTCACCACCTGTGCTGCCCACTCGAAGTACTCCTGGACTCGATGTTCTGACCATCCTGCACAAGAGTGGACAGAAATCAGCTCATGGGATGTCAAGGCCAGCTTTGGCGTTGGTTTTGCCTCTTTTCTGCAGGGCTTTTGGTACAAGGCCGTTAGATGAGTTGTGATGGGATGACCTGACAACTCTGTAAACAGCAACTTTTCCCACTTTCAGAAGTCTGTTCCAGGATTAGTTTGAGGCATTAAGACCACCCCAACCCCACCCCACCCCTTATTTCTGGAAAATTGACCAATATATGTTTTTAGAAGTTGGACATCCCTCCCCTTCCCCTTAGAGCCAGTAGTGGAGCATACCTTGAGGAGTGCAGCGATTCAGGTCCCTCAAGTTGTATAGTTTATCTGCCAGCTTCACCAGTTTGGCCCCTGGGCTGCTGTGGGGTGCCTGCTCTACCTGTTGCCTCTTTCTTTCCAATTTGGGCAGAGTCTTGTCATCTGTTACTTCCTCCACCAAGCGCCGAACCCGTGCTCCAAAGTGCAGCTCTACCTCATCCAAGGTAGTGTCTGTGTCTTCTACTGTGTCATGGAGCAGGGCCGCCTGGGGATAGGCTCCCATTCAGCCCAGTGACACTAGCCTACCAGTTAAAGGGCACCCATTGTTCAACAGTGCTTCTAATCCCCACACCAGCCTCCTGGCAGAGAAGAGTAAAGTTACCTGTAACACCACAATGTCAGTGATTCCCGCCTCATGGGTTAGGATCCGGGCCACACCTGACAGGGGCAAAGCAGAAATCAGACTAGAGGGAGTCACAATGGAGAGCCCGATGTAGCCTCTCATCAGTTGGCCTTGGAAAGCCCCTTACCCTCTCGGGATATTGACTGTGCTAAGGGGACAATCCCGTCTACTGCCCCGGGTGCAGCTTGCACGGCATAACCCATAAAAAGTGATTGACACAAAGCTTGGGACTCAGTAGGCGCTCAATAAATTGTACACCCTTTGTGTTCCGGTTCCAGTCGGTCCCCGCCCGCCACGCGCTGCGAAAACTGCTTCCCAACCGGCGCGCCCACCGATGGGGTGGTTGATGTAGGGAGTCCCTTCAGGATCTTTCCGTCGCTGCTGTCGGTGCTTCTGAGCGGCGAAGTCAGCAGCCTCCAGCAGCTGAGCTACCTCGGAGCCCATCGCGCGGGTAGCGCGGGGCACTGAAGCCCCAGAGTCCGAATAGGTCTTCTACAGCGCCCCCTGCCGCATCGGAGGCTCGGAGAATGGAGTTAATTCTAACCTGTAATTCTTTTATTCTCCACACCACACAAACCTCGCGTGTTATGCGTGTGTGCGCGTGCGTGTGGCAAGTAGAGGCGATAAGTCTCCACCAAAGTTTTGGGGACAAGGTCCATCCTTGAACTTGTAGCAGCTCAGGTATTTAGCAAGACTAGCTAGCCAACTACTTTCCACGGATTCTCCCGTCCCCGCCTCCCAAGTACAACAGGTGTAGGTTGCCACCCCAAACTTTGCACCTGACTGTTGCCTTAGTCTGAAGGCAAGTCCTTATTCTTGTGCAGCAAACACTTTACCCACTAAGCCATTACCCCAGTCTAGATGGAGTTTTTTTTTTTCAGAAGCTGAGCTCCTGGGCACAGAAAAAAAGCCTTCAGCCAGGTGGTTGTGGTACACGCCTTTAATCCCAGCATTCAGGAAGCAGAGGGAGGTGGATCTCTGAGTTCAAGGCCAGACTGGTCTACAAAGCTAGTCCAGGACAGCCGGGATATGTCTCAAAAAGAAGGGGGGGGGGGTGGGACAAAGGGAGGGAGGGAGGGAGGGAAGGGGAAAGGAAGGAAATAACCTTCTATAATCACGGTTGGTGTGTTGTACTCTGCTCCAGGCTCAAGAACATAGTATCCTGGTTCTCTGAGAACTAGCAGTCTGTGGAAGAAGAAAGCCAAACAAGAACAAAGGTGATGGCCTCAAGGAGTTCAGAGCTGGAAGATATAGGTAGCTATGGAACCATAGAGAAATCTCAGTTCATCTAGCCTGGGAGAAGAGACAACTTCTCCCAGGAGAAAAAGGCTGTCCACAACCTTCCAATGCCCAGAACATTTTCAAGGTGCTCCAAATGCAGCTCTCCCCACAGGGACTGTCCTGTTACTATGGGTATTTTGGCCCTAGTGATACGAGACACTACAGCTTGACCTTCTGGAGACTTGGATCCTAAACTAGAAGTCTTGCCTAATTGCTTCAGATTTAAGCTCCTGGGAGGCAGCACTGTTTCTACAGAAACTGTTTGCATTAATCTCTTGTACCGTAAGGGGAGCCTGCTTCAGTCCCTAGACCTCTGCTGAGGGCCTCCGAGGAGATGATGAGTCTTGCCCCTGCTGCTTCAGGAGCATAATGTTGTCTAGCTTGGGTAGGCACTGGAACAACCCTTCGTTCTTTACTGGCAGTGAGCTTTGGATCTTTTGGAGAAATACTCTGTCTTAGTGTTGGAAGCTCTAAAGTAAGAAGGGTAAGTGAGACCTGGGAATCTCCCCAACAGACTGTCTGAGAAATGGAGGTAGCCAACCACAAAGTGTATTCCAACCAAGCAGGTAGCTTTTGTGTCTGGGCTGGCAGCTGGGGAGATGAAACTCAGGGTGACATTTAATGACAGCATTCTCAGATAGACTTGGTGGTTGCCATGTTGCAGCAGTTATGGAGGGATGCTCCACAGGCTGACGGGAGGTCTTTGGGACCTAACACAGGATGAATAGAATTCCCAAGGTGTCTGCAGCAGCCTAGAAGTAGGAGAATGGGTAGACAGAAACATATTTGCATATTTGGCTTTAAGTGTTCTTTTTTTTTTTTTTTTTTTTTTTTTGTGTGTGTGGATAATGTCTGAACTTTTCTCTTGCCTGGCATTCCCGGTCCTCTGAGACGTTCCTCTCTACTGCTTAGGATATCATAGGCAGTTGGAGCCAGAGGCCTCACATTTCCCAGCAGATATAGGAATCCGGTCGCTCTCAGCTCTCATCACTCTAGAAGCCTGTGGTGGAGGAGTTGCCACCTCTGCAGAGCTCGGGACTTTGATTTCAGGCCCCTTATTGTCTGAGTCATGGCTTAGCACAAGTACTGGATTTCTAGGACTACAACTGAGGTAGAGGTGACTTCTCATGGGCCTCCAGAGAAGGAGTCCAGGGCCTTTACTGAAAGGCCTGTCTGTAGGGCTGCTGCTGCTTTTCAATTGGACAAACCTTGCCCACCCCACCGACCTCTCAGGTATAACACTTCCCCCATCCTCTGAGGGCGGATTGAGCTGGGGAAGCTGGTGGTGAGGGGCGAAGGGAGCCTTCTCCCGTCTTCTGGTAGGGACTGGGACCCCATTTTGCACTTTGGACAGGGTGAAGGGGGTGTGGGCAACATCCCTTTTCTATAGATTTCTTGCTTCTCTGCAGCACTGGCTCACCACCCACATTTGTGCCAGACCACACGGGACGCTGAAGGCCGCCGCTACCCAGGTTTCTTCTGTCCCCGCCTCTCTGATACTCCTGAAGAAGCCTACTGTTGCCATCTGCAGGCTGCTGGGGGTTCCTGCTGTACCCGAGATGAATTTGAGGCCCTGTACCAAGTAAACCTATCTTCTCTCCAGTCCCCACCCATCCTCAGGTGAGAGCTCCAGTCCCAGATCCACAGGACACTGACACGGTCCTTAAATTCTGCGGTGGGAGGTTGATAGCTTCCAGACTAGTAGAGAGGAGGTCATGTAAATCACGATTACAGCTCTGTGAAGGAGTAAAAAGTAACCAAAGCTGCTGTATATTGTGTGGGACTTAAGGGGTTTGTATGGTGTCAATAGAGGGGATTTTGTAGTCCATGGGTTACACACATTGTAGTAGGGGGTTTAGTTCTGAATCTAAACCTAGCTGCGTTCGTCTTCAAGGTACTTGCGAGCTCCCAAATTTGTATGCCAAATATGTGTATGTAGTCTATACTTATCCCGCGCTTTCTCCGACTTTCTGGGCTCCGTAACCCCTGGCTTGTCGCAGCCAGTGTACGGTCTTAATTTTCTCCTCTCTCCGACAGGGGCCCAGGCCCGCTCCTAGCACTAGGCCTTTACAGTCTACTTCTGATGGCACTGATGACCGCAGATTTCGTGCACTTCTGCCGTGGTCGGGGAAGGAGAGAAAAAAAACTAAAGTCCTGCGGCAGCCGCCTTCCCTTTCCAGCCTCTGGGGCGCGCCCTCTACGGATCCCAGTGGAACAGACTAGACGCTCCTGAAGCATCGCTGAGCCTGCGTCTGCGCAATGCAGCTGAGCACCCCGCCCTTGCACCTTCGCAACCTCTTCTCGGCCTCGCCTTCTTTGGCGTAACCCTGACGCAAAGCTGGGGCGGAGCTATCCCCGGCATCTTCCCGAGCCCCGGGCCACCTTTGCTCCAGAGAGTGCGCCTGCGCCGGCTCTGGAGTTCAGCTTCGCGATGACTGTGAGTGGTCCAAGGCACCCCTGAGCTCCGACTTTCGGTCCCCGGGGTGCACACTGGGCCTCCTGTGACATCTCCCCTTCGCACCTGGCCGCCGTCACCTTATTCTAGTTCTCCTGGGGACACTCCCCGGCCCGGGCTCCCAGATGAGGTGCTCGGCTCACCGCCTTTCTCTCCACAGGCCAGCTCAGCCGAACAGCTGCGGAAGGAGGGCAACGAGCTGTTCAAATGCGGGGATTACGAGGGTGCCCTGACCGCCTACACCCAGGCCCTGAGTCTCGGCGCTACGCCCCAGGACCAGGCCATCCTGCACCGAAACCGGGCTGCTTGCCACCTCAAGCTGGTGAGGGAGAGGGGTCGGGTTTCTCTAAACTGATTCTGCCTGGGCCTGGGGTTATCCCCAGTTTGAGCACCAGCTGGACATTTCCTAGCCACCCACGGTTGTCAGTTGCTTTGGGTATTGGGAGTGGGGGGCGGTCAGCAGAAGCTACTCAATCGATCAGTTCCTCTCAGGCTGCTGATTTTCTCTTACAGGAAGATTACAGTAAAGCAGAATCGGAGGCAACTAAAGGTAGGGGGTTGTGGGCCCTTATGTGGAGTTGTGGGTCTTCTATGGTGGGCAAGGACTCTGGGACCACCGAGCCATCCCTTTCTCCTCCAACTTTGGTCCCAGACACGTGTCTTTCTACTTCCTTTCCCACTTCTTCGGCCTTTGCTTTTCTGCAGCTGCCCTCACCTTTTCTGAGGCTGAAGCACCGAGCTGCACATTCGTACCCCCACCTTCCTCTGGCCCTCAAGATCTTTCCCTACTGCTCTTGCCTGGAGATGGTGGCCTCATGGGTGCTGACAGAGCTCCTGTTTGTGCTCAGCCATCGAAAAGGACGGTGGGGATGTCAAAGCCCTTTATCGACGAAGCCAAGCCCTAGAGAAGCTGGGCCGCCTGGACCAGGCTGTCCTTGACTTGAAGAGATGTGTGAGCCTAGAGCCTAAGAACAAAGTTTTCCAGGAGTCACTGAGGAACATTGGGGGCCAGATTCAGGAAAAGGTATGTGAAAGATCAACAGAGAATGGGCGATTGCCTGGGTCTGGGTCAAGGGTGTAGACACAGGGCTCCAGAGAGGAGCTACAGGTTACAAACCAGCATTAAAAATGCCCAGCCTGTTGGAGGGAATCAAGTCAAAATCATGGTCATTTGGTGCAGGTGGGAAAGTGGTGTGTGTGTGTGGGTGTGTGTGGTATGTGTGGTGTGGTGTGTGTTTTGTGTGTGCTGTGTGTGTTATGTGTGAGTGTGTGTGGTGTGGTATGTGTGAGTGTGTGGTATGTGTGTGTGTGGTGTAGGTGTGTGTGGTGTGTGTGTCTGTGTGTGTACTCTTACAGCAGCTGTGAAGGGATGAATGGACTGGTTCCTGTAGGCAGCAATATTTTGCCATGTTGGTGTCAGAAATGAACATCTTGTAATTCAGTTAGCCCACATTGACTTTAGTCTCACTATGTACCTGAAGCCAGCCTTGAACCCCTGATTCTCCTGCTCCCAAAAACATTTTTAGTTTTACCCTTTTTTAAAGACGGGGTCTCATAAAATCTAGGCTGGTCCTGGTTGCTGTGTAGCTGAGGATGGCCTTGACGACTTCCTGTCTACACCTCCAGGTGCTGGGATTTCAGGAGTCTTGACTTTTATTTCAGTCTTATTTATAGTAAGAGAAACTTGGAACCTGCCTAAATGCCCAATAAAGAGGGAGAGAAAAACTAAACAGACTAGGTCAGTATTCCCATTTTTGAGAAGTGGATAGAAAAGTAAATTATGCAGTAATATGCACAGAAAAGTAATGCTACCACTGAGCTAGTGGCCCATACCATGTCTGGGCACATTGGGTAAATATGTATAAGTAAGATGAAAAATATTGTAAAAGTTGTCCATCAAAAGCCTGTTAAACTGTGAGTTTGATTGAGGCCAGCCTGGTCTACAGAGTGAGTTCTTGGACAGTCGATGCTGCACAGTGAAACCCTGTCCTGAAAAACAAACAAACAAACAAACAAACAAAAGACACCAAGTATCTGTAACACTTGGCCAGGTGTAGTGACATATTCCTTTACTCCCAGCACTTAGGAGGCAGAGGTAGGCAGGTCTTTGTGAATTCAAAACCAGCTTGGTCTCCATTAAAAGAAAAAAGAGAGAGAGAGTGTGTGTGTGTGTGTGTGTGTGTGTGTGGTGTTTATCAAAATGGTAACATTGGAAGGAAAGAATGGGATTAAGGAAGCTGTCAAAAATACTTTGACTTAATACACACATGCACACACAAGGCATCAAAGGAGGTGTTAGCAGCCACCTCACAGCCTTCTTGGTGTCTTGTAAGCAGCAACTGTCAAGTTCAGTGCCATAGTAGCATGCTTATGTTTTCACGATGCTATAATGTAGCCACCACTACTGGGAATGCATTTCCTGTGGCTAACAAGATGCCTCCCCTTGTGAAGGCATTCCTTTAGCATCAGCAGGCCAGGCAGCATTGCCCAAGCAGGAAGAAATTTAGAGAGGAAAACAGCCCCAGGACGTTTAGGAGGAGATGCCCTGGCAAGTCTCTTCCTGCCTGCCATGGTTTTGAGCTGTTTGCCTTGAGTTCTGAGCATCCCAGGGAGAACTAAAGGAAATATGACATGTCTGGACTTTCTCTGCTTCTTCATAGGTGCGGTACATGTCCTCAACAGATGCCAAAGTAGAACAGATGTTTCAGATACTGCTGGACCCCAAAGAGAAGGGCACAGAGAAGAAGCAGAAGGTACGGGTCCTGGAGTGACCTCAGGCTTCCATACATACCCCTTTGCTCACCAGTATGGGCCTCAGGAGTCCTGCTGGCCTTGGGTCCTTAACGTGAAGCAAGGAAAGGGAACTAGTATTCAGAGCACCTTGGTGGCCCCCCTAGCGCTGGCATGCTGTATGACTGAGGTGCTGTTCTTGCTCTCGAAGCCCTGCTAGGGACCCCACTGTCACCACCACCCACGAGACCAAGCTCTCCTTTCTGTGTGAAGAGAAGGAAGCTGAAGTTCCAAGGGGTGAAATTTATGACTGGCTAAGAAGAAGCAGTGAGGCCCAGCGCTCAGGGCCTCGCTGCCTGCCCTGCCCTTGGATGTCTGTAGTGTCAACATTAGTATGTGCCTTTTTGGCGTAGGCTTCTCAGAACCTTGTGGTGCTGGCCCGAGAAGATGCAGGAGCTGAGAAGATCTTCCGGAACAATGGGGTTCAGCTCCTGCAATGCCTGCTGGATACAGGAGAGACTGACCTCATGCTGGCAGCCTTGCGCACACTGGTCGGCATTTGCTCTGAGCATCAGTCGCGGGTAGGTGGTGTGGAGAGGTCTAGTTATTGCCTCAGTCTGTTTGTCTGTCCATTTGTCTATTAATTCCACCTACCTATCTACTCTTCCACTCCTCCATTTTTTTCCCAAAACAGCTTAAAGCACAGATAAGAGCTACACAACTGTGGGGAAAAATAAAAAGGACAGAGGGGACACATACAAATTAGGATGGAGTAGGACAAATGTAGCCTCCTAACCCTTGAGCAATACTGTCCTGAAGCCAGCTCACAAAGACAACCTGGTCACTGCCCACTCAGGTCTGCTCAGAGAGAGGTTTTGTCTGTTCCAAAGGTTGGATTCCTTTTCCTCTGGAGAGGAGAGACCAGTGATGTCACAGACAGCATCTCTGCCTTGGAGATACTGACCTGGTCAGCAGCATGGGCAGTGCTATCCTACATGGACAGTGCCACAAGAATGGCCCTACTCCTGGGCCATGCCCTCGGCTCTTGCCTGTGCTGGCTGGACCCAGGAGATAGGGACTTGGTTTCTGGTTGATCAGTATATTTTTATGTGTACATTTAGAGTCAGGGTCTTCTTATGTAGTCTGGGCTGCCTTGAACTTATGGTCCCTCTGGGATTTCAGCATGTGCTGCCATGCTGAACTCCTTGATTGCTTTGAGAGGAATGTCCAGTTCCAAGAAGGGTAGATTGTGAAGTGTTCAGTGAATCTCTTGAGGCCAAGCCTGGGCTATATTTAGAATAGTCAAACCATGTATATCCTGTGACAGCCTCTCGCTCCCTCAGGTCTGTGTGAGCTGGGATGAGCCCATCAGGCCTCCTAGGTTCTCTGAGAGGCCTTGCAGGTCTGCCCCATGCTTGTTCACACCTTCAGGTGTGTATAGACTACTGCTGGGTTTGGGAAGGCACTTGCCTCTATCGGGATGCTGGGTCCAGGTGTGCTTCCTTCTGAGGAGACAGGAGACCAAATAGCTGCTCCTGGGGCCTGTCTTCTCCCCGGTACAGGGAGCAGAGGTGGATGAGGACTTTGGAATGTCTCGTCCTCTTCTTCCTCGTCTTCAGGCACTGTCTGGATACGTAGCCTTCCTTGGCTGCCATCCTGTCTCTGTCTGGGACTACAGGTGTATGCCACCACTACCAAATGGGGTGCTTTCTTTAGATCCTTTCTGACAGGAAGCACGGCGTGACCCAGGTCATACTATTAGACCTACTTTCCTTTTCACTTGGAGCTGCCCCATCCACCCAGGGGTTTGCTCACTTTGGAGCCACACTCACTAACTCACTATTAGGAGTCACCATGGCTGCTGTTTACCAACTAAGCCTCTGTCCAATTCTTTCCCACCCTAGACAGTGGCAACCCTGAGTGTTCTGGGAACTCGGAAAGTAGTCTCCATCCTGGGTGTGGAGAACCAGGCCGTGTCGCTGGCAGCCTGCCACCTGCTGCAGGTTATGTTTGATGCCCTCAAGGAAGGCGTTAAGAAAGGCTTCCGAGGCAAAGAAGGTGCCATTATTGTGGGTGAGTGGAAGTAGGTCTGGTCCCTTGGATGGTACTGTTGTGGAGGGGATGGATGGGATGTGGCTCAGTGGTGATATTTTATCCTAGATTCTTTTGTTTTGCTGAGACAAAGTCTCACTGTGAAACTGAGCTCTCAGTCCTCTTGCCTTAGTCTCCCAAGTGCTGACATTAAAGTTTTGTGTCTCCATGCCCAACTTTTCCTTTGGATTCTAATAGCCAAGTGCTTGAGGAGAAAGCTGGGCTCAACTCAGAATCCAGGAGGGAAGCGTCCTTTGCCTGTGTCTCTCTGGCTGTTGAGGAGTTCAGCAGTCACACAGGGCTGTGTCACTGTAGGGTTCACTAATGTCACGTTTTCTGTTGTGCTGCTTTGTCTTTGTGTGGAGGACTGAACCCATAATGTCATAGCCATTGATCATTGTGTATTGTGGCCAGATCCTGCCCGGGAGCTGAAGGTCCTCATCAGTAACCTCTTGGAGCTATTGACTGAGGTGGGAGTCTCCGGCCAAGGCCGAGACAATGCCCTGACCCTCCTAATTAAAATGGTACCCCGGAAATCTCCGAAGGACCCCAACAACAGCCTCACACTCTGGGTCATTGATCAAGGTAGGTGTAGAAAAACTTGCTTGGGAAGCTGAGGCCTGCCTTCCTGTGGGGGTGATGAGAAGAGTAGCAATTGTATACAGTGATACGCTTGTGCTAGACTGCCATCCTATGACCCTTGTAGTCACTGGAGGCAGCACAAAGACCCTCCAGCTGTGTGTGTGTGTCTTGTGTGTGTCTGGAAAAATGCATTGCATTGGACAGTCCTGAAGAAAGCCAGTTGGAAGGCAGTCTCCTCTTTTTCTAGTTGAAGTTTTTTTAATCACATTATTTTAAACTTTTAAGACATTTTTATTTAATAAGGTCCCCCCCCCACCGTGTGTGTGTGTGTGTGTGTGTGTGTGTGTGTGTGTGTGTGTGTGTGTGTGTGTTCAAATACCATGACACTGGTGGAAATCAGGATAACATGCAGAGGTTGGTTTTCACCTTCTATCATGATATAGGCCCTGGGATCAAACTCAGGTTATCAGAGTTGGTGGCAAGCACCTTTACCTACTGAGCCATCTCACTGGCCTGTTTGAAGTTTTTCTTAGTGACTATGTATTACTACTACTCTTGGAGAAAAAGACAAATCATAACATGGCAATTTACACTTCTCATTTTCCAAAAAGATAAGTAAGAGGGGCTTGCAAAGGCCCTGCCTGACCCTTGTCTGCAGGAGTCCTTGAGCCTGCTTCTGTTTTCCCCATGGCTTTACCGTTGCCACTGTTTGAACTCTGTGACCTGACTGACAGAGGTGGCCGGCCTTGCTTTTCTCTGCATCTCCAAGGCTGTCTTCAGGGCTTGGTAGCAGTGCTCCACTGTCTAAATGGGGTATCTTTCCAGGTCTGAAAAAGATTCTGGAGGTGGGGGGCTCCCTGCAGGACACTGCTGGGAAGCTCACAGTGACAGCAAACAGCCGCATGAGCGCCTCCATCCTCCTCAGCAAGCTGTTCGATGACCTGAAGTGTGATGCCGAGAGGGAAAATTTCCACCGGCTCTGTGAGAACTACATCAGGTGAGGCCCTCTGCCTCTCTCCACTGCCAGGGGTGCCAGCTAAAAAGGGACTGGCTTTCAGCATGGAGGGCAGACTTGAGGGAGTACGAGTAAACTGAAGTGATCCCCAGCACCTCCACTTCTGTTGTGGTGAAGAGACACCATGACCAAGGCAACTCTTAGAGTTTAACGAGGGCTTAGTAGTTTCAGAGGGTGAGTAGATTTCATAACCATCATGACAGGGAGCATGGCAGCCAGCAGATAGGCACGGTACAGGAGCAGTAATGGAGAGCTTACGTGTTGAAGCAGCCACGAGTGGGGGGGGGTAGGGGAAGATGGGGGGGAGGACACTGGAAACACTAGTTTGGAATGGTGTGGGCTTTGGAAGCCTCAAAGCCCACCCCCAGTGACCTTTTCCAACAAGGCCACACCTCACCCTTTCCCAAACAGTTCCGCTAACTGCAGACCAAACATTCAAATATATGGACTTCTCAGGGCCAGTCTCATTCAAACCACCACACCCGATTGGTTTTTGTTTGTTTGTTTTTCTTTCTTTTTTTTTTAATAATTTATTTACCTTTATTTTATGTGCAATGGTGTGGAGGTGTCAGATCCCTTAGAACCAGAGACACAGATAGTTGTGAACTGCCATATGAATGCTGGGAATGGAACCTGGGTCCTCTGGAAGAGCAGTCAGTACTCTCAACCACTGAGCCATCCCTCCAGCCCCTGTTTGTTTGTTTTTCAAGACAAGATTTCTCCCTATAGCCCTCACTGTCCCAGAACTTGTTCTTGCTCTGTAGAGCAGGCTGGCCTCAAACCCACAGAGAACTACCTGTCTCTGCTTCCCAAGTTCTGGGATTGAAGTTGTGCACCACCACACCCAGCAACACCCTATTGTTTTGAGATGGAAATCTTGCTAGCCTAGGCTGGCCTAGAACTCCTGGACACCAGAGTAGCCAGGACATGTAGTTAGTTGTGTGTCACTGTGCCTGGCCCAAAACCTCCTTCTTATGCCAAAGTGATTGCACACTAACTTTTTCAAGACTGCAACAAATGTTTCACGCACATCAAAGAGTCAAGCATGTAATGGATTTCTTTTCCAACCTATGAACTAAACATGAAAGTCCACCCTTGAGGAGCTCACAGCTGGGGGAAGTGACAGTAATAACACAGTAGGTGACCTCGGGTCTTAACAGTACAGGAAAGTAATATGGCAGGACAGTGTGTGTAGAATAACCTGTTTGGTGGGGTGGTTAATGGAAATCGGTGATAGCCATTGTGAAATGGCCAGTCTTCCCCTTGGCAGTTTTTCTTGCTGTTTCTGGCCAAGGAGCGCCAAGTGCCCACCCAGTATGGATAGGGAAACTAGAAAGAAAAGGCCCCTTATGTGTGCTTTGGCATGACAGCTGTCACTCTATGCCCCTCAGGAGCTGGTTTGAGGGCCAAGGGCTGGCCGGAAAGCTGCGAGCCATCCAGACAGTGTCCTGCCTTCTGCAGGGCCCATGTGAAGCTGGCAACCGGGCCTTGGAGCTGAGTGGCGTCATGGAGAGTGTGATCGCTCTGTGTGCCTCTGAGCAGGAGGAAGAACAGTTGGTGGCAGTGGAGGCGCTGATCCACGCAGCCGGCAAAGCCAAGCGGGCCTCATTCATCACTGCCAACGGTGTCTCCCTGCTCAAGGACCTATACAAGTGCAGCGAGAGGGACAGCATCCGTATCAGAGCACTTGTGGTGAGATGGGAGGCCTGGGTGGGCAGTCAGGCAAGGTCAGCTGGTGTCTCCTGGGGCAGCCTCAGCACTGTAGGTGAAATTATACACTGGACCTCGCTGGGGCTACAGGAGCAGGGCTGGCTCCTGCCACTGAAGGGCTTATGTTCAAGTGGGGAGATAATCCAGGTACAGAGGATGTCTAGGCATGCAGGGCGCCTCATACTGTCCCCTTGTTGGTTATGAAGGCCTGTGGAAAACAGAAACTGCACAACTGCACGTTTGGGGCCTTTCTAGGCATCCATGAGCCATTATAGCCAGTGTTGTTGGGGCTGTTTCTCCTTGGGCACTGGCCTCGTTTACTTTCTGTTGTTTTGATAAACACCATGAGCAAAAACAGAGAAGGCTTTATTTCATGTTACAGCTGAGATCAGAGAGGCAGGTCAGGGTAGGAACCCACAAGTAGGAACTGAAGCAGGCACCACGAAGGAACGCCGTTTCCGGGCCTGTTCCTCATGGCTCGCCCAGTTTGCTTCCTTACACGCCTCAGAACTACCTGCCCAGAGTTGGCACCAGTCCAGTAGCCAGGCCTTTCTGCTGGCTAATCTGATGGAGACAGTTCCTCTGCTGAGGTTCCTTCTTCCCAGATGACTCCAGCCTGTGTAAAGTTAACAAAGAAACCAACTAGCACAGGTAGTTCGTCCTAGGTTTCTCTGTCTTTAAGGACTTAGGCCATGGCTAAAGTACTTGTATAGGGCCTTTTCTTTTTCTTTTGAGCCAGAGTCTCATGTAGCCCAGGCTGGCCTTATAGAGCTGAGGCTGGCTTTAAACTTGACCATTCTGCTTCTACCTTTTTTTTTTTTCCAAGGCAGGGTTCCTGACTGTCCTGGAACTCGCTTTGTACACCAGGCTGGCCTCAAACTCACTGAGATCCATCTGCCTCTGTTGGAATTAAAGGCATGAGCCACCACCGCTAAGCTACAAAGGGCTTTTTGTATAACATGAAAGTGACCGAACAGTTCTCAGTATAGAATTGGAATGAGTGTAGAAAGGTCTCAGTATACTAAGCAACTAAGCAGCCATCGTGTCAGTGTCTACCAGGCACTGTCCTGAGGCCACCTCAGTAGATGATTGTTACCTAACCCTCCATGTGCTCCCCGTGGAGAGCTCGTTGATTAGTTAATACCTGTGGACCTCCAGAGCCATGACAGGCCCCGGGAGGGATCCTTAGCCAGGGAAGAATCAGGCTGTTGTCTCCATCCTAGGCACCAAACAACTAGTCTTGTCCTCCCTCTCCCTCCAGGGACTCTGTAAGCTTGGATCCGCTGGAGGGACTGACTTTAGCATGAAGCAGTTTGCTGAAGGTTCTACTCTCAAACTGGCCAAGCAGTGCCGAAAGTGAGTATTTCTCCACTGTGGGACAGATCTTAAGAGAGTGTGCAGTCGGAGAGATGCTCAGGGGTACACGCATGAGGGCCTCAGACACCCATATTAAGCAGCTGGGCGTGACCATCCGAGCACCTGCAGCTCCTTTGCTATGGGGACAGAGATGGAAGGGTCACTGCGGCTTCCTTCAGTGAGACCCTGTTCCAAGAGAGTAAGACAGAGAGTGACAGAGCAGGACACCTGGCACCCTCCTCTGCCCTCCGTGCCTGTGCAGAGGTGCACACACACAACTTTTAAAGGGGTGGAGCTTCTTTGTCCTGCTATTGTTCGCAGGCGAGGGCTGCTTTCCCTTAGGCAAATCCTAGATCCTGGTTCATAAGTTCGTGTGTCACCGGGTGGCCCAAGCCCCTGGCTCTCCTCCTTGTCCAGGTTACTCCTTCCAGATTCCACTTATATTTGCTGTTGCTTATCGCGGTTTAATAAGGATCGGGGTAAACAATTAGGCCAGACAGATGTTTATTTAGGGAGAAATAACTCGTAACATAGACAGGTGAACACCAACAGGTTCCTGCTTTCAAGAATTCCTCGGGATGTCCTCCTGTCCCCATGCAGCCTCCTCAGACCTAGTTCCCCAGGTCACTTCCGCCCCAGGCTCCACCCCCCCGTGGGTGTGGTCAGTGCCGCAGAAGGAGACAAAATGAATATCCCACTATGGTTGCTGGACTCTGCTTTTTCCAGATAGGGTCTCACTAAGCCCAAGTTGTCCTAAAACTTGTGACCTTCCTGTCTCTGCCCTCTGTGTGCGGAGTTTACAGGCATGTACCACCATTTATGACTCCTGCTTCCTGCCTCTGATGGTCACCCACTGTCATACCTGTCACTAGGTGGCTATGCAATGACCAGATTGATGCAGGCACTCGGCGCTGGGCAGTGGAAGGCCTGGCTTACCTCACCTTTGATGCCGATGTAAAGGAAGAATTTGTGGAGGATGAGGCTTCTCTGAAGGCTCTGTTCCAGCTCAGCAAGGTAGCTCTGCGGGTTCCTGCTGTTAGCCGAGGGGCTAGGATGAGATGCTTTGTAAGACCTTGGTGCCTGTAGTGTCTGGAGCGCAGTTGCCCTAGAGGAGTTAAGAGCTGGGATTGTGAGCTCTGAGTCTGGGGTTGGGGTTCCCAGTGTCCCCCTAGGTACTAGGTGGGGTTGTGGGAGTCAGAGGGGGATGCTCTGCTCAGCTGCATTCCGCCCTGCCCTGCTGAATACCCCTCTATCCTGGCCAGTCTGAAGAGAGGTCAGTGCTCTTCGCAGTAGCCTCGGCACTGGTCAACTGCACCAACAGCTACGACTATGAGGAGCCTGACCCCAAGATGGTGGAGCTCGCCAAGTATGCCAAGCAGCATGTTCCTGAGCAGCATCCTAAGGTACGGGGGCACTAGGAGGACCTGGGGATGGATACTTGCTATCGGCAGCATTGTCCACCAGTCTCTGCTGTGAGAAGAGTCAACATTTCCCTGTCCAGTCAGCTAGGGCCCACTCCTAACCCTCCTCCTTTTGCAGGACAAACCAAGCTTTGTGCGGGCTCGTGTGAAGAAGCTGCTGGCGGCGGGTGTGGTGTCAGCCATGACATGTATGGTGAAGACAGAGAGTCCCGTGCTGACAAACTCCTGTAGGGAGCTGCTCTCCAGGTAAGCCAGTCTGCCTCTGCTAACTCCTGTGTCAGCCTGCAGCATGCCTGGAGGAGTAGGGCCTTTGCTGTGGGAGTCATAGAGCGTTTGGCTGCCTTACTTCATTCACTTGGGTATAAAGAATGGAATGCCTTCCTGCCAGAGCCCACGCCTTCTCCCTGCAGGGTCTTCCTGGCTTTGGTGGAAGAGGTGGAGGATCGAGGTACCGTGGTTGCCCAGGGAGGAGGCAAGGTAAGCTGACTTCTGACTCCTTCCTGCTCCTGAGCCATCCGCCTATAAAACATGACTCTGCGGCTGCTGGCCTTGGGGGACGTATTAGTGACCAGCGGGGACTTCTTCCAGTGAGGTGATGCTGATGTGGATAGGCTCTTCAGAGTCCCTCAGTACTGTGGGCCCGGGAAGACCCTGAGTTTGCCTCCTGTTCCCTCTGTGGCCCCAAGGCCCAGCACAACCCATGTTTAGCACTTAATAGGTGGTTGAGGAAGTGTTTGGGTAGTTTTAATGAGAGACCTCAGAGTGAGGAAGAATGTGAGCCTGGAGTATTCCCAGGCCCAAGGAGAGAATGAGAGGCTGTGCAGTTGGGGTCGATGGCTTGGACCTTGTACTCCCAGGCCCCCAGGCTGGGCATTGACAAGGCTGGGACTCTTCTGACAGGCTCTGCTCCCACTGGCCCTGGAAGGTACTGATGTTGGGCAGACAAAGGCAGCCCAGGCTCTTGCCAAACTTACCATCACCTCTAACCCGGAGATGACCTTTCCTGGTGAGCGGGTATGTGTCTCCTTTTTCCAACCATGACCTCTCCTGTTTCCTTATTACACCCTGATGGCCTCTGGCCGGGCTTTCCCTCATGATAAATGGGAAAAAGGCAGTTTGCTGAGGCCTGGGGCAGGGGACAGCCATAGAGAGCACCGCTGTCTCAGGTGGGCTCCCTGCTGTGTGTCTGTGGGATGGGGGCCACTGTGGCGAGCGCTCTGATAGGTGGGGTGTATCACAGATCTACGAAGTGGTCCGGCCCCTTGTCTCTCTGTTGCACCTCAACTGCTCAGGACTACAGAACTTTGAGGCTCTCATGGCCCTAACGAACCTAGCAGGGATCAGCGAGAGGCTCAGGTAAGGACCCATGGGAGCTTGGCATAGGGATTTGGGTGAACCCCGAGGGATTTGGGTGAACCCCGGTTGTGTACTCTACAGATTGAAAAACAGTTCCTGGTCACTGTTTGTGTCCCACAATAACTCCTTGGTAACGTACAGATGAAGAGTCATGCCATGGGGTGGTTCCGAGGAGGCACAGCATGAGAACGTGTGCCACAGGCTCTGGAGTCAGATTCCCCGGGGTTCAAATCTGGCTCTCTAGACCCAGAAGATATAGAAGCCCAGGCAGTTAGGCTCTGGCACCCTGACTGCCCCCCTCCTCTCCCCAGGCTGCAGGCACTCACTGGCTCACTGAATGACCCTAAGCAAGTCTTTAAGTCATTCTGCCTCAGTCTCCTCTGTGAGTTAGTTAAGTATCCAACTCATGAAATAGCAGTGTGGAGAGTTCCTGAGAAAATGCATATAAAAGGCTTTAGCGAGCACAAGTGGGTGTGGTGGCTCAGGCCAAGGGAGGAAGACTGCTGTGAGTTCTAGGCTATAAACTGTCTCAAAAGCCCTTAGTTCAGAGGCACCTGCCCTAGCAGTAATCATAGCCAACAGTATTAGCTGTTGTTACTAATTGTGACCTTGGACACATTAACTCACTCACCACCCAGCCCAGTTCCCGTTTGGTGGACTAGTTATTGTAACCACATCTACATGGGGTAGGGTGGCAGGCTGTGGATGTGGGGGCTCTGGTCATGCAGACCCTCCAACTCTGTCCTGCAGACAGAAGATATTGAAGGAGAAGGCTGTGCCCATGATTGAGGGCTACATGTTTGAGGAGCATGAAATGATCCGCCGGGCAGCCACAGAGTGCATGTGTAACTTGGCCATGAGCAAAGAGGTGAGGGGTCGCTCCAGCTGGTCCCCATGACAGGGATGCAAAGAGCGCCCCGGTGGCATGGTCCTTTCCTCTATCCGATCACAGGTGCAGGATCTCTTTGAAGCCCAAGGCAATGACCGGTTGAAGCTGCTGGTGCTGTATAGTGGAGAGGATGATGAGCTACTGCGGAGGGCTGCTGCTGGAGGCCTGGCTATGCTCACCTCCATGCGGCCCTCACTCTGCAGCCGCATCCCACAAGTGGTTAGTGCCTGTTCTTAGTAGGGGCTGATGAGGGAGCTAGAACTCCCTGCGCAGTGGTATTGCTGTCCTACCGGGGAGGTCCTGGGGTGTGGATGTGTTTTCTACCAGGGTTGAGCCTGTTGCTGGGTCTCCACACCTGCCATTTCCTACAGACCACACACTGGCTGGAGATCCTGCAGGCCCTGCTTCTGAGCCCCAACCAAGAGCTCCAACACCGAGGCACAGTGGTGGTATTGAACATGGTGGCAGCCTCCAGGGAGATCGCCAGCACCCTGATGGAGAGTGAGGTGCTGGAGATTCTCTCAGTGTTGGCCAAGGGTGAGGAGAGCCCAGTCACCAGGGCTGCTGCAGCCTGCCTGGGGAAAGCAGTGGAATACGGCCTCATCCAACCCAACCAGAATGGGGAGTGAGCATTGGCCCTGGGCCCACACAGCTCATGCATCCGCCACTCGCCGCAGCACTGAGAGCCAGCACAGAAGCAGCTTTGGCCAGCAGGGCTGGGATGTTGGACACTTACCTCTCTTCCACAGCTGCACTTTGGTGTTCTTTGCTCTGAGAGATCACACACCGCACAGCCCTGCTCTGCCAGCACTCAGGAGGGGCCCCTGTATCTATAGTGAGCTGGGAATGGGCAAAGCGAATCGCAACTCAAGCCTGTGGATTATGGGCATCAAGAAGGGCACAGCAGCATCCTCACAAGCTGCGAGCACCACGAGAGCCTGCCAGCAGGCACGTCCCTTAATAAATCATGTGGAACTGAAGTGTGTCTGTTGTGTTGGAGGGGCTGCTGAGGGGGAGGCTCTGGAACAATAATAGCTGGGCACGTGTGCTGCTGTGGTTTCCCTCCCCAGGGCCCACTGAGTATCTTAATAGTTGAGACTGGGCCTCAATATGGGGAGCACAAGCTGGCTTCACACTGACAATCCTGTCTCAGCCTGTAGAGTAGTAGGAATTACAGAGTGTCACCGAACCCGGGCCGAAGGAACACTGATCAAATTCCAATGTCCTTAAGATAAACAGTTTTAGGGGAGGGTACTATATGCTGGGCCCTGGGTACATTTGTCGTGATACTAAGTTTTTCATGATCTCCAGTCAGGCAATGTTTGGCATTTGGGGGTGGTATGCGCTTCCTTCAGGGAAAACCAATTTTTCTGCAGCTGTGCCTGGTTGAAGAGGCGTGGCTCAAGTGGTTCAAACAGGTTCACCTGCTAGCTAGGGGCACCAGTCTCTTAGAGGCCGGAGTTCGAGCTTGGAGCTCATTGGTTCAGGAGATGTAAGTGACAGAGCCTGGACCAATCAGTGAGGGCACTAATACTACCGCTTCCTGTCTGGGCGAGCTTGCTCTGCAGTGAACCGCCTCTCTCCTTGCTCGCAGGGAATGGTGGGTCTCAGGGCTTGGTCCTCGCCTGCGGTTCCCCTCGGATCTTCGTGAATATTCCTTCAGTGGTTCCAACTGCGTCCGCTGGTGTCCGCGCTCACTGGAGGCTTCGGCCCACTCCCGGGAGCGGCCCTTATTGACTCGGCGGAGGACTCCAGCTGGTAGTCAGGTAACCGGGACCCGCTGAGCACGTCACGACGCCCGCCCCCGTAGTCGGTGACATCACCACTCGCGCCCGCGATTGGCTCTGAAAAGGCTGCCGCATCCAATGGCAGCCTTGTCTGGCGCGCGGCCCTTTGAACACTGTCCTGCCCCATCCTGGAGCCCAGTAGTGCTACGTGCTGGCAGGTTTCCTTCGAGATTTCACGCCGAAAGGGCTTTTCTGTTTGGTTGAGGAGGCGGGCAAGAGCAACGTCAAAGGTTCTCTTGGTTGGAGATCCAAGAACTGTGGTCTCAGACCTGATCTAAAAGGCTTGAAAGTGGCTGTAAAGTTTTGGTCCAGTCGAATAAAGTGGCGTTGCTGTTGGAGCCATGCTACTCCCAATACAGCGTGAGTTCCTTGGGGCCCCCAGCCACCTCACTAAGCCAAAAGAAAAACGCGATAAAGGCTTGTTGAAAGAATAAACAACTGAGTGCAAACTGCCCAGATGCCTCTGAAACCCGCTAAGAACCAATGGTCGTTTTCGTCATTAAATGCTGTTGTATTTAATAAACTAAGAGTGTGTTGTCACTTAAATTTTGATTTGCTATTATCGCAAACAATTCTGCGAAGTAGATACAAACAGCGCTGCTCCCACCCATTTTGGCACACTGGATTTGGGCCAAAAATGGGAGACATGACTAGCTCCAGACAATTCAAGACACATTTGATAGGACCTTTGGCCAAAGCTCTGCTCCGGGAACAGTAGTGGGACGAACACCGATTGCCTCTGTGATTAGAGGGATGGATTCAGATGGGATCCGGTCACTTATTTTACAGGTGATGCGGTGGCAGCCCCTTGGGAGACCAGATTCGCCTGTGTTCCTGAGGTGCCCTGGCTGCAAGCATCTCCTCGGGTTGAGGCCTTAACCATCCATCCTGTAGCTGGTACCCCAGCCAGGTGGTCACCCACAGAGGCTCAGCCTGAATATGACCAAGGAACAGCATGGAACCTGGTTTGGCTTCGGTTTCTGTGGCTTTGGGCAAGTGTTGGGCTCTGGGAGTGGGCGACATTCGGTGCACAGTCCTGAACCACTGTGTGTCAGTGATGACATTTGCCGAGTGAGTGCAAGCTGGAGCTACACCGCCCTGGTAACCTGTGAGTACCTTGTGGTAGAACGCACTCAGGCGGTACCCTGGTCAGCTCAGGTGCAAAGGACCCGTTTAAACGAAAGACCTCCGCCCACTTATGCTTTCTTTGTCTGCTTTTTTCTCTTTTCTGTTCCCTGGGCAGACAAGACAGGACTTTTCCTGTCTCCCTCTTCTCTTCTGTCCGTTTCCCTCTTGCCTCGGTTACTACCCTCTCCTGCTGTGGAATCCACGAAAGGTTCCGCACAAGCTTTTTATCATAACACCCTGACAGTCCCAACTCCGGGCCTGACCCCTGTTCAACTGCCCAACCATTCTTAGCATGCCTGCTGAGCATACCCTATGCCCGTTGTCTGGCAACCTTGCTGCACATCCCCACCCCCACCAGGTCCTTGGCGGTGTCCCACCCCACTCTCTACTCATGTAGGTGGTGGCCGAGTGGAGCTCTCAGGTTCTGTGAACAGCTCAGCAGGTGGCTGCAGGGACGCGTGGGCTTCAGAGGGACTCCTGGTGGTGCTGCGTGACAAGGGCGGGTCCAGCACAGAGCTGCAGGCCTGGACAGCAGGCTCGGCGCTTCAGGGGGAGCCCCTCTGGGTCCAGAACCTGGTTACTGGGGCCAAGGACCAAGGAGAACATGAACCCAGCAGTGAGGCTAGGGCGGGCACCCTGCCGCTGCTGCCCTGTGCCAGTGCCTATGTGAACCCACAGCCACCCTTCTGCCAACCTCTGGCCCCAGAGCTTCGGGTGCGCCAGCTGGAGCTGGGTGCAGAGCATGTGTTGTTGCTTTGCGAAGCTGGCCAGGTGTTCTCCTGGGGTGGAGGCAGGTGAGGCCCAGCTGGGTGTGACTGGGTGAAGCTGGAGGAGGTGGTCTCTTGAATGTGCGTGTAGCTGATTAAGGACTCCCCTGATCAGGCATGGACAGTTGGGCCATGGCACGCTGGAGGCAGAGTTGGAGCCAAGGCTGTTGGAAGCACTGCAAGGCCTGCGGATGGCTGAGGTGGCCGCAGGTGGCTGGCACTCTGTGTGTGTGAGTGGTGAGTGACCTGGGGCCTCTCCAAACACGCTGATCTTGGCCGCTTCCTCCTCCTGTTTTGTGTGTTGGTTGGTTTTTGTGGGTGGTCTAGTTCAGTAATTCCTGACTTCAGGGTCTGCAGATTTAGTCCATTGTCTCCACCACTCTCTTATGCCTTGACTGCTGCAGTTATCTTTGTTACCGGGCTCTCCAGCACTCCCATCCATACGCTAGGCACCATTGCTGCTTTGTGAATACTCCAGAAGGGAAGCTCACTTATTCAGGCATCTGCTAAGAGACAGGCCAGCAGAAAGAATGGAGAAGGCTGCATATGCCCAGGTGGCCATGATGGTGTGTGATGCTATGTTGGTCCCATATGGTGGTGCTGCTGTTTCCTAGGCTCTTGAAGTGGAGAAGGAATAGATACATTCCTGTTTTGTTTTGTTTAAAAAAAAAAAAAAAGATGGGCGGAATGTCTGTGCAGGTATCCAGAGAGGCCATAAGGCACTGGATCCTCTGGAGCTGGAGTTAAAAGCAGCAATGTGCTGCCCCGTGCTGAGCTGAGAACTGAACCCAGGTCCTCTGTAAGAGCAGCCAGTGCTTTTAACCAGGAGCCATCTCTCCGCCCAGAAACTACTGATCTTTCTGATTGGGGCTCTCAATCCTCCATGTTCTCATGTAATAGGCTTAGGAGGCATCCTGGTCTAACCTGGGCAGGAAGGCAGAGGACAGAGTGCTAGAAAGAGCCTAAAGGAAAGTTTCACGCCTAAGGTTTAGGAGTTTGAACAAGGCTTCCTAGTTTACAATCTTTACTCTGGTTCTTTGACTTTTGTTCTGGCGCTTAATCTCTGTTAAACTTGACTTCAAAGTGAGGATACTGTCATATAAATACTTCTAGGGCTTTATGATTGTATTTGGAAATACACAGGCTGAGCATTTTATAAAATTATTATTAGAGAATGCTGCATTCAAGGTCTCATTCAAGACCTCTGCCTCAAACTGACTGACCCTGAACTCTATATTCCTGCCTCTGCCTCCCAAGTAATCTTAGTGACTCTTAGACATTATGTGTCCTGATTAGTTTGTTATCTGCTTAACACAAGCTAGAGTCAACCTCAAAGAGAAACCTCAATTGAGATTGACCATCAGATTGGCCTACAGGTAAGCCTGAGGGGGCACTTTCCTGGTTGATAATGAAAAGGGGCACAGGCAAGCCAGGCAGTGGTAGTTACACCTTTAATTCCTTCGGAGGCAGAGGCAGGACAGTCTGGTCTACACAGTGAGTTCTAGTACAGCTATAGTACACATTGAGACCCTGTCTCAGGAAAAAAAAAAAAAAAAAAAAATAAGACTGAAAATGTTGGCCTAGCAGAGAGTTAAAGGATGACTAAACTGAGTTCTCACTCGTAGTCCAGGCCTCTGGAGACCTTGAGACAAAAGAACTTAAGCCTGGAGTTAGACACCAACCTAGGCAACAGAGTGAGACCATCTCCGAAGGAAGGGAAGAGGAAAGAAAAGCTGTGTAGGTGGGATTTCCTGTCCCACCAGCCAAGTCCCAAGAAACACACAGAAACTTACCCAGCTGATAACTCAGGCTTGTTACTAACTAGCTCTTACAACGGAAATTAACCTGTTTCTTATCCGTATTTTACCATGTGGCTTGGTACGTTTTCTCTTTTATTTTTTTTATAAGATTTATTATGTATAGTGTTCTGCCTGCATGTATGCGCGCACACCAGAAGAGGCCACCAGATCTCATTATGGGTGGTTGTGAGCCACCATGTGGTTGCTGGGTATTGAACTCAGGATCTCTGGAAGAGCAGCCGGTGCTCTTAACCACTGAGCCATCTCTCCACTCCCTTAGTACCTTTTTTCAAAATGGCATATTCATCTTGCTTCTCTCTGCCTCTCCTGGTGCCTCCTCCGTCCCTCATCCCTGTGCTCACTGCCTGTCCTCAAGTCCCACCTAACCTCTTCCTAGTTATTGGCCATTTAACTCTTTATTAAACAGATGAGAGCAACACATCTTCACAATGTACAAAAAGACTGTTCCATAACAAAGTTTCCAGGGAGAGTGGAGACTTTGAGGCCAGCCAGAGAGGTACTTGAAAAAGAAAAGAGGGTGCGGCAGGGTATGTGACTGAAGGTGGTGTATGGTCAGGGAGTCTAAGACAAGGAAGCTGCTGGGACTTGGTAGAGGAATCTTTGTTTGGAGGGGTACTTGGACGGGGTAGCCTTTTCTTTGGTAGTAAGGATTTTTTCTTTCTTTCTTTCTTTTTTTTTGGTTTTTCCAGACAGGGTTTCTCTGTATTGCTATGGTGCCTGTACTGGAACTCACTCTATAGACCAGGCCTGTCCCTGCCTCCCTAGTGCATCACCAACACCTGGCTGGTAGTGGGGGATATAGGTAGATGGAAAGGTCTCACTTGTTTCATGGATCCTCTTGGTCTCTTTCAGAAACTGGGGATATTTATATCTGGGGCTGGAATGAGTCAGGGCAGCTGGCCCTGCCCATAAAGAGCCCTGCAGAGGACAAGACGCCAATGAGAGGGGAAGGTAAGTTCAGTGTCTAGGGTACTTCACTGTGTGCTGGACACTGAGCTGCTCGGGACCCTGACTTACCCCTGTAACTGTTGGACAAACACTACTCCTTGCTGTGGGAGGCTGATGCCAGTTTTGGCCCTGCACAACTGGCAGGTCTGTTGAGTAAGGGTTGGGCACCGGCTCTGGAACTAGAATGTGTTTTGTAGAGCCTGTAGGAAGATACAGTGTGTGGATGAGGCTCCCCTCCATGCCCCAGAATGTTAAATATCGTAACCACCCTAAAGGCACAGAATGGAATGAAGATTCCCTCGAAGGAGAGGAGGCAGCTATGGCTGATGTTGGAGCGCCTGCCCACTTCATAGCCATCCAGCCCTTCCCAGCTCTGCTGGATCTTCCCACGGGCTCAGATGCAGTCAAGGCCAGCTGCGGATCCCGACACACAGCTGTGGTGACACGTGAGTGGGACAACTTCAGGGTGGAGCAGTACTCCATCCTATTCTTTAGCTGGGGCTGCAAAAAAGAAAACTTTCACTTGCCCATCCTTTTAGGGAGTCTCACTTTATTATGCAGGCTTGTCTCAAACCTCTGGGCTCAGGCACTTCCAGGCTTGGAGGAGCTGGGGCTTAGACGCACACCACTGTACTCTGTGTACTGGGGACTGCATCTAGGGCTTCTCTTCTGCCAAGTAAGCACATTACTGGGCTGTGTTTTTAACAGAAATTACCCTACTATAGCATATTTTGATATATACTTTATATCAGCTGCCTCACTTTCATGCTGGCCATCATGGCACACACTTATAAATCCTAATCCTTGGTCTGAGGCAGGAATAAGACTATTGGAACTGTTTCAAACTCTTATCAACTAAAAAAAAACAAAAAACAATAAAAAGGTTACTTGTGTATCTTTAACAGTTCCACAGCCTCAGACCCAATAGGTTCTTTTTTCTAGAAGGAAACCTCCCCAGTCTAGGGTGTGACTCTATGTACTAAGGTCAATCATTGATATTTAGGAAGTTAAGCTTTTTAAAACTGGATCTTTTACCTCCCCAAATGTGGTATCAGAATTACAGTGTGGTGTCTTTGGCTTGTGCCAGGCAAAGTACGATCTTCCCAGTTAACAGTGGCAGCTACTTACTGTCTCTTTGGTTGCAGGAGCAGGAGAACTCTATACCTGGGGCTGGGGTAAGTAAAGGTTTTGTGATCCCACCAATGGGGGAGGACCTGAACACAGAGCAGGTGACAAAGCCACACAAACTAGAGGGTGGCAGCTTCATGGGAGGCCTGAAAGGCCATGCGCCTCCCCTTGGGATGGCAGTGAGATAAGATGACACAGATGAAGGAGGTCCTCTGAGCATCTTGACATAGGTAGGGGAAGCCAGAGGAATCACTGCCACTGTCCCCTGGGGGACCCCAAGGTTTGCTTGGGCTTGAAGCTTTCTGGCTTCACAGAAGACCAGTGGGTTGGTAGGTATAGCCCTGCTACACTGCGGTCTGGGCTGGCCTCTGTCCTGGAGGGGAAAAGAAGCAAGGGCAATCAGAGAAAAGGGTTCATTTCACTCTAGGTAAATATGGACAGCTTGGCCACAAGGATAGCAGCAGCTTGGATCGTCCCTGCCGTGTGGAATACTTTTCAGAAAACCAACTTGAAGTAAGGGCTGTCAGCTGTGGACCCTGGAATACCTATGTGTACGCAACAGAAAGAAAATCGGATACAGTCAGGTGAATCCCCAGTTCACTTATGGTGCCTGGGTGAGAATGAACTCCTGTCACAGGCACATGCAGTGCTTACAGACAGGGTCACAGATGTCCTCCCACAAAGTCTCCAAGATAAAGACAAATCTTGCAGAGCATGTATGAAAGAACTGAATGTGTATATAAATGTTTATTTTTGGATAGGGATATTTTTACCCTAAAAAAAAAAAAAAAACCCAAGACAAGTATCAATAGCTGAGCTATACCCTAGCCCAGCAGCTTTAATAAAACATGAAAAATGCTAATAAAGTGGTGTTACCCAAATGAGAAAGACTCTTAAGTCTTTTAGTTATCTATAGACTAAAGCAACCATTGATTTGAAGATAGTTTTTAAAAGGTAACTATATACACTTTATTTTAATATATTTAAAAAAGAGAACATACATTTTTTGAACTAACAGCATGCCAACACAGACCCAAATTTTAAAAATATTGACAGAACTGGCACAGGCAGAGAATAAATAATAGTGCTTTGGGAAGAGTAGTGATCATCTGGGTAGGAAAGAAAGCCTTGTGGATGTGACTGCAGGAACACTTCCTTTTACATGTGCAAAGTTGCTGATGTCCATGACAAAAATGTCCCAACCCACCCAGATAGCCTCTCCATTTGGTTGCCAACTACAGAGCATAGAACCAGACATAGTTAGCACAGGGATGGGAGACTGAAGAGAAACTGAACAGGTCAGAGAAGCGTGTGCGTGCATTTTACACATACTTCATAAAGAGATTGCACTATATATGCACTATATAAACAACTGTTACTGCTACTCTTCAGCAGCAGGTCAAGCCATCTCAAATGCAAAATTCTCATTGGGATAGTGCAGGGCGCGGGGCACAGGCCTCTGGGTAAAATCAAAGCTACCATAGCTACAGCTTTAACTGAATGTCCCTAGACCAAAAAAAAAAAAAAAAAAAAAAAAAAAAAAAAAATTTTGGGTGAAGATGTTAATTGCTAATTCATACCCCATGACTGGGTACAATCACTTTCCAATATTGTAGTTAAGTAAGACAAACCCTTGATCATTCTTTAAGTAGAATTATGGGGTAGAGGAAAAAACTTAGTACAAATTTTAACATCTGGTACTTAACAGTCATAACTAGATTTGAGGGTGTCTCTGTGGACCCACTACACCTATGAAGGGTTTTCAACCTATTGTACTCAAGTCTTAAGTTAGGTCCATCTAACAGAACCCGCCCAAGGTTGTTTCAAACATTTAAAGTGAAGAAAAACTATAGGTCATTCCCTGCATAAGTCATTCCAGGCTAGGCACAGGAAGCCACAGCTGGCTAACTGGTCAAGGAGTCTCAGGATTGGATGTTGGTTGAATTGAGGATTCGAGAAGTAGCATCAGCTCTGGAAGCCTTTGAAAGTTCTCGCTGTTGAAGAATAAACATCATCAGTGAAAGCACTAGTGCATGGCCCTCCACTCAAGTGCAGTTAAGGTTAGCACAAAGCCCCCAGGGCAGGGTCCTCAGAGTTTCTAGCACAGCTGTGCTGGGAACAGACTGAGGAACTCTGAGCACCATGCTGTTAGTCACATGTCACTATTATCCTCAGACAGCCCAATCTTAAACCCTTACATTTCAAAGTTACTTGTGTAGTCTGGCCAAGCAAATAACAAGTTTTCTGTTTGTTTTTTTCCTCTCCCTGCAGGGGATAGAACCCCAGGGCCTTGTACATGCTAGAAGCTTTGGTTTCTTGATCCCTTTGTAAAACAAGGGCCAGACCATTTATCTACCAATCCCGGGGGGCTGAGGGCTTTGTAACCTGCTGGTGATTTGATCTCATGCTGGAGTACATGGTGGAAAAGCAAAAGACAGACAAGAGATAACAGAATGGTCAGCAAGGAAGACAGGTATTAGTTGTCAGCTGAATGAGTGGCTTTGGTGCTGCCCCATGGAGTTTGTCAGCCAAAGCTGCTGATACCAGAAGTAGCCCTCCAGGCTTAGGCAGAGATAGATGGATGTGTAGGTACATTTAAGCCTCAAACAGATAAAATGGGCTTTGGCTGAGCAAACAAAAAAAGGAAAAGCTGGATCTGTTGTTTAGCAGTCAGCCAACCAGTTCCATACACCCATTTCCCCAGATAGAAATACTACTACCCAGGTTGTTGGGAAGAAGGCCAAGAACATTTAACATCCCAAACTAGCCACACTCATTTTATGTCCCAACATGTGGCAGCAGGAGGCAGTGCTAGCTTTAACTTGGTGTCCCCTACAAGGACAAGGGGCAGCCTTCACCTCTCACTGGTGAGATAGTGAGGGAAGACAAAACAGATGGTTACGTGTCTCAAATTCAAAGCAGGTAATGGACGGTAACTACTATTGTAGTGAAAAGGCATTCAGTCTTCACACATGTTAGCAACTCACTGGTAGAAATAAGTAGAAGTGAGGAAATAAGCATAGCCAGCAGATGTAGACAGACAGGGGGAAGTCAGTCCGGTGGGTTAGGAAGGGAATATACTCCAGGAAATAATCAGCACACAGGCCAAGAGCCTCAGTATAAGCAGCACACAGCTGGGGTTCCCATCCCCATTTTTTTTTGGGGGGGGCTTTACTCTTTCTAGCACATTCTAGGCCTTTGATATCACAACTGGGCTAGGTATTCTTAATTTTTTTGTAAATAGAAAAATTATTTATATATATATTTATATACATATATATATATATGTTACATGTGCATAATCTTAGGTAGGGGCTGAGAATCCAATTCAAGTCTGAACATGTTTTCTACTAGCCAGCATGTAAGTCTATTGGAAATAGAAACCAGATGTTTATTTTTGAAGCCTATAATAGGAATTGTGTGTGTGTGTGTGTTTGCTGTTGTTTTTGTATTATTTGTTTTTTTTTTTTTTTTTTTTAGGTCCTATGTTAATACAGATGAGATTATGGGTTAGTATAGTACTGCGCCCAGATGGGAATGAAGCCAGCAGACGACAGATCAGTTTGGAAAGGGGACATGGGACATGCAGGGATTGCCATACAGACCTGAAGCCCAACAGTGGAGCTGTCAGAGAGGGACGGGTCCTTCTAAGAACAAAGAATTAAGATAATTACCAAGAACTCCACCAAGAGCACCAGGGCAGTCATTAGCAGGTTACCTCCTGCAGCCAGGAATGGTACAGCTTAAGCAGAAGGATCCAGGTCAAATGTCTAGTTGCTGACAACTTCCTTCATGTACCCCTTTCAACCACCCACACCTACCATGATCAAGGCAGGAAAAGGATTCTCAGCCTCCAGGTCACTGTCCTGACTATCTGGGGTGCCCGTGGGAAGACACCTGCTCTACCAACTGTGTGCTCCCCAGAGACTGGTAGATATCAAAAGGTGAATTACCGAAAACTCAGAATAGGTGCTGGCAATAGACTTAATGCTGCAGTTGTGCTGGAGGGGGGTCGAGCCGGAGTACCCACCGCTCAGCATGCTGCCATCGATCTCCATGTTTTCCTTGTTGGCCCTGAGGCGGGCAGCTCTAGGTGTTTTCTTTCCAGAACACATAGAAGTGATTACTGACTGCAGAGAGAAAGATATCCATGTTATCCATCACCCTAGAATAAATGTACTCACATAAAACCTCTGATGCCATATTTATATTACTCAGATATCTATAATTCTACATTTCTGGCTTTAAAATGGTGCATTTAATTCAGGCATGGTGTTGCAACCTTTAATCCCAACAGAAGTGGGTGGATCGTTGAGATCCTGGTCTAAATAGTGGGTTCCAGGACAGCCAGAGCTACATGGTGAGACCCCATCTCAAAATAAAACAGGTGCAGTTTTAGTTTTTTAAAAATGTGCTGGGCATCAAACCCACGGCCTGCAGAATGTAAGTCATGCTTGACACTGAGCTATTAAACCCCTGGCTCCCAGCATGAATTACACTTCTTAGTAAAGTTCTACTCCTCAGTGGGTCTAGTTACCCAGTGTCACTAGAAGCCACCACCTTACAGCCCACCCAGCCCAGTTTCTAAATGTGTGTGACCAAAAACTGATTCAGGGAATGGAGAGATAGTTCAGCAGTTAAGAGCATTGGCTGTTCTGCCAGAGGTCCTGAGTTCAATTCCCAGCAACCACATAATGGCTCCCAACCACCTATAGTAGAGTCTGATGCCCTCCTTCTGGTGTCCTCTTCATAAAGGTGTGTATGCAGATAGAGAGCATCCACACACATAAACAAATAAATAGATAAATCTTTAAAAAAAAAAAAATTCAAAATCAAAGTCTCATGAATCTGAGGTGTTTCCAGCATCAGCTGCTTGTGTAGTATCTATTTCACCACAGCCTTTGCTCTGAACACACAACACACTGGGAATTTGCATGTTATGCCATACTCTGCCAACAAATGCTGTCTGAAATACCTTAGTGCTGATTCAAGAGCACTTAGCATCATAAACTGCAGCAGTATCTTTACATAGAGCTCTGCTGTTAATAGGATCATGATGGCTTAATTATGGAAAACAAACTTTTAATACCTTCCTACCTTCATTCCCTTTCATTTAAGTATCAAATTAATATATCTTTAGATTATATTGTTAGAATATTTTATTTTAACTGCTGAGTTGCTGACTTGAATTTCATTAAAAAAAAAAATCATTCACTAAATTGGCTTAGTATCAAGGCAGAATTAATCCTCCCCCCCCCACCCCCAGACAGGGTTTCTCTGTATTGCTTTGGAGCCTGTACAGGAACTAGCTCTGTAGACCAGGCTGGCCTTGAACTCACAGAGATCCACCTGCCTCTGCCTCCTGAGTGCTGGGATTAAAGGCTTGCGTGGCAGAATTTTCAACAAATGAAAATGCTTCTGTAATTTTGTACTATTTCTAATTATAGCCAACATTAATGAGTATAAATCAAACTATTGCTAGGCTGTGGATATACAGACTTTTAATCCCAGCACCCTGGAGGCAGAGGCAGGTGAATTTCTGAGTTTGAGGCCAGCATGGTCTAGAGTGAGTTCCAGAACAACCAGGGCTATACAGAGAAACCCTGTCTAAAGAAAAAAAAAAAAAAAAAAAAAAAAAAAAAAAAAAAAAAGGCTCTGGTCTATTGACTGTTTGGCTCTGGCCTGACTCTTAGAATCTCAGTGATCACGAAAAACAACTAGGCAGAGGAGGACCTCTAGGAAAACACAAAGCAAACAGGGATATTCTTGTACAGAATATACTAACCTTGCTGCCAGAAGGAGGTAGTCGGGATACAGGGGAACGGTACATTGTTCCACCAAAGGCAGGTCGAATACTGCTGTTGGGTGTAGCACTGGACAGGGTGGTAGTGTTCATCTAAGAACAGACACTTTATTGGGGAGGTTAATAACATCAGTTTTTCCAATAACCCAACTCTACCCTGCAGGGAAGTGAGCATGAAGTGTTCAGGAAAGAAGCCTCTAAAGAAAAGTTGCACAGCTTTAAGGAAAGTTAAGAAATGTTTCAAAGCCTATTTAGACCTACCAGATGGAACTATAATCTTATATAACTACTTATATGGCACAAGACATGTACCATTTAACCCAAACATTTTACCCAGGAGAAATGAAAGCATATATCCATATGAAGACCTCTGCATGTATATGGCAATTTTATCTATAACAGGCCAAAGCTAGAAATAAATATCCCTTAACAGATGGCTGTGATGGGGATGGCGTCTGTAAATATGTTTCTCTTATTGGTTGATGAATAAAGCACTGTGGCCAATGAGGCAGGAAGATATGGAACTAGGAGACAAAAGGATGATTCTGAAAAAGGTAGGCAGAGTAAGTTGACATGTAGGACGTTGGAGCAACACCATGCTGGGCATTCATTACTGAGTAAACCACAGCCTCATGGAAGTACATAGATTGATGGGTTAATATTTAAGAAATAGTTAAGAAAATGGGTTAATAATTAAGAGAGCTAGCCAATAAGAAGCCCTAGCCAATAGCCAACAGTATTGTAACTAATATAGCGTCTGCGTGTTCATTTGGGGCTGAAACAGCTCTGGGATCAGGCTGGTGGGAAGAATGTCGGTAGCATGACTGGACAAGCAGATTATACATGCACAAAATAGAATACCACCCAATAATAAAAAGGAATCACTTATTAATACATACTACAACATAGATGAATCTTAAAAACATGCTAAATGAAATAAACCCTACAAAATGTACTGGATGATTCTATTTGTATAAAATGTAAGAAAATGCAACATTGTGACACAGTAAATTCCTGATTGTGTTCTCTTCCTCTTTCCTCAGACCCTAGCAAAGTGTGATTAGGAACATTTTGGGGTCATGGGTAGGCCCATTATCTTCACTATAGTGATAGTTCATGGTTTTTCAAAACTTATTAAAGTACACATTTTATATAATGCATGCTTACTATACCAAATAAAGCTGTAAACTTTTTTAATGCTAAGGATTAATTTTTAAAAATGCTTATGTTGGGTGTGGTGGCTCAAGCCTATAATCCCAGCCAATATTCTAAGAGGCATTTATTAAAAGTATGGAAGATGTCTTTCACCCAGTACTGTGACTACCTGTTGGAATTATAGGATGATTAACTTTTGTTTTTTAAAGTTTTTCAAGACAGGGTTTCTTGTGTAGCCCTGGCTGTCCTGGAACTCACTCTATAGACCAGGCTGGCCTTGAATTCAGATTTGCCTGCCTCTGCCTCCAGAGTGCTGGGATTAAAGGTGTACACCAACACCACCCAGCTTTGGATGATAAACTTCATCACCACTGCTGGCAATTATTCATGCAGGGTCTTGCTAACATGCACAGAATTGGCCGCTCTTTGACTGTCACTATAAGCTGCTACTCTTAAGTGTTTTCCCATATACCCTCAAATAGACTCAGCCTAGAAAGACAGAAATCTTTTTACCTTCTTCGCAGGACAAAGGACAATAAAAAGCAAAGAAGTCTAGCATCCCTGTGCCCTTGTAAACAGCAACAGTAAGAAGGTAGATTTACCTTGCGTACTTTGCCAGGCTTGTTGGGAGTCAGTCCTGGCCTCTTGCTGGGTGTCCGGGGAGCACTGCCATAGAGCATCTCTGTCTCTGTCTGCTTCTTGTTCTTTAGTTGCTGAATGAAGCAATGATATGTTTAGTAAGACAGCAGGACCAGAAACCCCAGTATAGATCTCTGCAGGCTGAGGTAGAAGACCGCTGCAATCTTTAATAAACCCAGATCCCTGGAAGAGACACAGGACCGCTAATTGCTATCCTCTTTTCCTAATTTGTGTGCACAACTTACTCTTTCCCGTTTGGCATTTTCTTTCTCCAACCGATGTAATTCCCATTGTTGTGTAACATACTCCATGAATTTTTGCCCATTCACCATAAATGCCATTGATTGTTCTTGTTCCCACTTTTCAATCCGTGCTTTCAATTCCTCTTCCAACTGGCCCGGAAACAAAGACATGTTATTTACCTCTAACCTTTGGTGATAATCTGAAGTGAAATAATTATCCTAAAGATAGACTCTTTCCAGTGTCATAACCCTCTAATAGCTGGACCCACATGAACAGAAACCAAACAAAGACTTGAGAGTTCATTTACACACACACACACACACACACACACACACAAAAGGAAAAAAAAAGAAAAAAGAAAAAAAAAAAAAAAAACAAGGGCCCAGTCTGAAAATGGAGGTTGTGATGCCTGAAATTGGAAGCAGCAGCAAGCAGCATTGGGAATATCAACATTATCTAGACAGGGTGTGTTATGAACAGGACTGTGGAACCAACCACACATATTACCAAGGTCTCAATATGGAGTCAACCTCTTAACTAGCAATAAAGGTGGATAAATTGAACTTAATATCGGAGTCCTCATCTGCACACATGGAAATAACATTAATCTATAGGGATATTAGGCAATGATATGAATAAATGAAATACCATTGAATACTATCTGGCAAAAGTCAATAAAGGCTAATACTATTAATAAAACAGAAAACAATAAAGTACACAGCGCTTTCGTAAAAGTATGCCTTATGCTATAGGCACAATTGTTATCCTATAATCCACTGAGAAGTCTTCATTTACCCTAGTACCCACACCTCATTGTTAGTATCTGGAGACAGTGTTTAAGGTAAATGGATTCAAATAAGGTCATTAGGTAGGTCCAATTACAACAGCACTGATAGTAAGTAATTAAGACAGAGACCCCCAAAAAAAAGATGAAGTGAAAACACAGGAATAGTGAATGGCATAGAAGTCAGGAGAGACCCAACCCTATCAAAGACACCTTAAGCTCATACTTCTAGCATCCAGAAGTATAAACACACTTCTCTTGTGTTAAGCCAATTAATGTGGCAGACATAGACAATTCAGACTCTGATACTCAGTTGCTATAATAAAGGCCCAGTACATGCTTACTGTTCTTCCTGTGTTTAAAAAGGACCAAGAGTAGGTTATCTTACAACCAGAATTTACCTTTGGGAGTGTTTTCTGGAGCTTTGCTCGTTCTTTTTCTTCTTTTAGAAGATTTCCCCCTCGGTTTGTAAACCGGCTTGGATCTGAAGCTTTTCTCTGTGAAAAATACATTTATTAGAGTAAAACCTAGAGGGCTGTGACCATGAATCAGCAGATTACTTGATAAGTATGCAGGAAGACTGGAGTTCAGGTCCCCAGCACCCATGCCTGTAAATCCCAGTGCTCAGCAGTTGGAGCTGTTGGATAAGAGGATCCTGAAGCCAATGACCAGCCAGCTAACCATGAGTTCCAAGTTCAGTGAGAGATCTTATCTCAAGACATAAGATAGAAGCCAACACTTGGGAGGCAGAGGCAGGCAGAGCTCTGTAATTTCAAGGCCAGGCTGGTCTGCACAATGAGTTCCAGGGCAATCAGAGCTACAAAGTGAAACCTCGTTTCAAAAGAAAGAGCAATTGAAGACACCTGATATAATCTCTTGCACATGGACACATGTGCTCCCTCCCACCCACATGAACACTTACACACACACACACTACATAACGCACCAAAAACAGAAACTTACCTTAGACACCAGTTACTTCTGCTAAGACTCCTAATCAGATGAATATATTAAAGTGATTTTATAACTTGTGCATTCCTATTTACTTAACAGTGAAAAATGGTAATTTTCTAGGCCATGGGCACTCCCTGCCATATATAAAGTCATCTATTAGGGATCATGAAAACTAACATTTTCTTTAAAAAACAAAACAAACAAAAAAACCAACATATATTATTTGCACAAAATAGTGATTTTCTTTTTCTTTTTTGAAACAGGGTTTCTCTGTGTAACCCTAGTCCTAGTTGTCTGTCCTGGAACTCACTCTATAGACCAGATTGGCCTTGAACTCAAAAATCCACCTACCTCTGCCTCCCAAGAACTGGGATTAAAGGTGTGTGCCACCACCACTCCCTGCCTGAATTTCACGTTTTCATGCATGTACGTGATGTTTTTTGTTCATATTCAATATACAACTCTCTTATCACCTTCCCACGGCTGATTCCCTTCCTCTTGCCAACTATCCCATCTACATTTTTTTTTTTTTTTGAGGAGCCTGGCCCAAAGAACTTCCAATTAGGGTTGCTTACAAGATCATAGGTAGATGATGGAGAGATACTCCCTTAGCCTAGAGACAAGAGGGAGGGCCTAGATCCTATTCCAAATGACTTGACAGATTTTGATGATCCCTCCTGGAAGGCATCACCCTCCCTGAGGAGTGAGGGGAGGGAAAAAGATGGAGGGAACAGGAAGGGGGGGATCAGGGGACATGGGATGGAGGAAGAGAAAGGGAACTGGGATCGATATGTAAAAGAAGGAAATATATGAAAAAAGATCATAGATGAGCATGGGCAACTTTCCAGTAGCTATACTACTTAAGAGAAAAGTCTCCCTCCCTTAAAAACCACTGTCAATAGATCTTTAGGGGAGGGAAAGGCCAGGTGTACCCCCTCCCTGTCTGTTACCTTATACTTTAAAAAAATAAAAGTAATAAATGAATGTGAGATGACAGAGTTATAAGTTGAGCTGGCTTCTCAAGCCTTTATTTCCAGCATTTGGGAGCAGGCAGATCTCTGAGTTCCAGGCCATCTGGAGCTACAGAGTGAGACCTTGTTTTGGTTTTCTTTTTGTTGTTTTGTTTTTTGAGACAGGGTTTCTCTGTAACAGTCCTGACTGTCCTGGACTCTGTATACTGGCCTGCCTCTGCCTCCCAAGTGCTGGAAGTAAGGCATGCACCACCACAGCAGGGTGAGACCTTTTTTAAATGACAATGGAACTGAATAAAGAATATGTAAAGGGGATGCAAGGAGACCTGCACTCAGGAACTGAATTAGTGTGGTGCCTTTATGAGTCCACTAACTTCTGTACTTACAGCTAGCACAAGGTAAGGCCTGGGTTAACTTCCCAGCATTGCCAAAATGCAAAATGTTGGGCTGGGGTTGTAGCTGAATGATAGACCATGTCTGAGACTCTGGGTTCAATCCTCAGCACCATCAAAAACAAAACAAAACAAAACAAAAACCTTTTTTAACTTTTCATTTTTGTTATTTTCTACCATATACATAGTAATGAGTACATATTATAAATTAGGTGTGCTACTCAAAACTAGTGGCAGGTAATCCGTTTTCTTGACATAGTGCCTGACTGGTATAGCCTATAAAGAACTGCAGGGGGCACTAACCTCTTTTATGCCATCTTAAATGTGGGTGTGCCAACCACAGACTACATTTACACTTCTGCCCATGACTTCTGCTTGCAAGCAGAAGTAAGGACTACCAGAGGATCTAGCTGTACGAACGCCTCAGGTTTTTCAGAGTCTGACTTCTCTATTTGTAATGCTTTTTCCTTTCACTGTGAAGCCCAGTCTAGGGTAGAGCCCCATGACAATCCTTCAGCTTCCCAAGCGCCAGGATTAAAGGTATGGGCTACCACATCTGGTGTGCTGTCATGATGGTTGATTTCACTCTAGAGAAATACAGAAGAGGTTACCTCAAACTCCAGGAAGAGTTTCCAGCTCTCTTCCCACTTCTGGACACCTTCAAATAGTTCCTTATGAACTTCATAATAGTTTCGTAGCCTTACAATCTCAGCATCATGAAGGTGAAGCAGGTTTTCTGTGTAGTCCTCTGCAACATAAAAGTTCAGTAGTGGGTTTTTTTGGTTTGGGGTTTTGTTTTCTTTTTTATACAAATCCCTTTCGTACAGTGATCCTCAACATGTGCGTCTAGATCTCTTGTGGCCACATATAAGATATCCTGCATATCAGATTTGTATTAGGATACATAATAGCAATAAAATGATTTTATGGTGGGGGGGGCTACCACAGCACGAGGAACTAACTGTATTAAAGGTCATAGCACGAGGAAGGTTGAGAACTGAGGTTACTGTGCAGGCGTTCCAAGTAACTAACCCTACATCATGAAAAGTTTTCTTCCTTATAATCTAAAATGACATAGGAATAAAGTAAAAATAAACCTTAAAAAAGAAAAGAGAAAGGGAGAGAGGAATAAAAGCCAGCCACAGTAGTCTAAATTGAAAAACAATCTACAAAATGTGTCTAAATTGAAAAACAACCTACAAAATGTATTGTCTTTCTTTTTTTCATTCTCTTCCTTTATGCTTTGCATAACTGATAGACTGGGCAACATAAAACATCAAAACATCTGCTATTTTGTTAGGACATTTCACCTCTCTGTTCAATTTAAGACAGTCTGGAACTCTCCTTCACTCCCCTGACTCAAGCATTTAGCTGCTATCTCTGGGTTTAGTTGTACAAACTTTGTGTTTTAATGCTCCCCCTCCCCTTTTTTTCTTTCCTTTCTTTCTTATTTTATTTATTTATTTATTTATTTATTTATTTATTTATTTATGAGGCGATGTTTCTCTGTAGCTTTGGAGTCTGCCCTGGAACTCATTCTGTAGAACAGGCTGGCCTTAAACTCAGAGATCTGCCTGCCTACCTAGGCTATCTATCACCACCCAGCTTAGTGCCCTTTTCTTCTTTTTCTTTTTTCTTTTCGAGACAGGGTTTCTCTATAGCTTTGGAGCCTGTGCTAGAACTCGCTCTGTAGACCAGGCTGGCCTTGAACTCACAGAGATCTGCTGGTTTCTGCTGGGATTAAAGGTGTGCACCACTGACACAGGGCTTAGTGATCTTTTCTTATGACATGAAAACTAAATGAGGGAATATTTTTAAGGCTTAGCTCTATCTGCTCAGAAGCAGAAATACAGAACTTCCTGGTGAGTGTCTGAGCTTTTATAAGACCTGTGAGGGTGGCCACATGAAGATCATCAACTCTGTACTAACCAGAATAGTAAGGGGCAAAAGCTTGTCTCTGTTCTTGGCTATAAAAACACTGGTCCCATAACTGAGCCAGCTCCACTCGAATTGTCTCAGTCACTTGCTTTATGTTTTGCATTTTCAGTTCTTCTAAGCGATCAACTTCTAATTGCAGCTAAAGAAAAAAAGACAAAGGTTATAGCCACACTTAAATATTCACTTGTTTACCTTTCCACATTTAAATAAAATTACAACACAAACCTATAGAAGTAAATCAGCAACACACCTTATAACATTATAAAAGCCAGAAATCTAAGGAATGTGCCCACAAAATGTGCCAAAATAGAACTTGTCTTTGCTGGTCCAAGACAGTAGGTGTAAGGACACTGGTCAGAGAGCACTATTTACCCAGTACCCACTTTCTTCTTACCGCATTCCTGACTTTGGCTTTTGATCCAGTCATAATTGCAGCCACAGGTTCTCTCTCTTCTTCAGGTACTTGTAACCTATCCCAGAGCTCTCGGATCTGAGCACGGAGCCCTTCACACTCTGCTTCATTTTTTGATTTTTTAACTTCCAGCTGTTGCAAGGAAAGGCAGTGGTCACACTAAAATCAAGAAAGCTAGCCTTCTAGTCTCTCAAAGGAAAAAATTTTCATAAGATCCATATATTTATAGTCATATCTTCTCTTTGTGGCATAGACTGGCTTTTACTTAGCTTCCTGAGTGTTGGGATTATAATTTAGGTGTATGCTATCACACTTTTACATTGAATGCTGAGAAACATGTTTTCATGCTGTCTAAACCTACATTGTAAGGATGTCAATGCCATAGGATATCAGACCTCTAAGAGAATTCAAATTTTGACTTGTCATCTATTTTTTTAAGAGTTATTGATTATATGTAGTATTCTGCCTGCATGTATGCTTGTACACCAGAAGAGGGCATCAGATCTCATTATAGATGGTAGTGAGCCACCATGTGGTTGCTGGGAATTTAACTCAGAACCTCTGAGCCATTTTTCCAGCCCAATGTTGTTGTGTTTAAGAAGGGCCTCATTATGTAGCCCTGGTTGGCCTGGAATTCACAGAGATTCATGCTTCTGCTTCCTGGGTTTAAAGGCATGTGCCACCATGTGCTTAGGATTAAAATTTTGATTTTTATTATAATTAAACATTAGGATAATTAAAATGGATAATGCTATTTCATCTGGAATGTCAATTTAATGTTCTAAGAATATTTGTTACATTTCTTATTCACACAAAAGGTGGTTTGGATGTTTTTCTAAATTAAAAAAAAGAAGAAAGGTCAAGGCTATGGTTATGGCTCATTGGCTTGGGTACAGGATTCATGAGACTACAAGATTTGAGTTCAATCTCTACCACTAAAAAAGGAAAATAGGACCTGAAGAGATAGCTTGGTCAATAAAGTGCTTGCCATTCAAGCAATAAGGACCTGAGTTCAAGCACAATGCTGAGTCTGGTAGGGGATGCTGGAAAAGTGTTGTGGGATGTTTGATCATTGTGTGAAATGTGCTGCTGTTTTACCTTGTCTGCCTAAGGTACCTAATTGGTTTAATAAAAAGCTGATGGGAGATGTCATTATGTATATATGTTTCTCATACTGGTTAATGAATAAAGCACTGTTGGCCAATAGGAAAGGAAGATAGGAGGGACTAGGAGACAAGGAGGAAATAGGAAGGAGGAGCCAAGATGGAGAGTCTGGAGAAGGAATAGCCGCCAGCCGCCTCTCCCTGGTAAGACCAGGTGTTAATACATAGAAATGGGCTAATAATTAAGACAGAGCTAGCCGATAGGAAACTAGCACCTGGCCAACAGCATAATATCAAACACAGAGTCTCTGTGCATTATTTGGGGCTGGCGCTGCGGCAGGACAAGACTGGATGGCAGGCAGAAAAACCATACTCATTACAAATGGCGCCCAATGTGGGGCTAATAAGAACTTCCACTTAAAATTTAACAAAAGCTTAAAAAAGGGTTTTAAAAACAAAAGAACAAAGACAACCAAGGTTTCTTGGTAACAACATTTTCTGGGTTGCACTCTGTTTTGTGTGAGAAAAGCAAAAATTTCTGCGGCTCCTTTAAGGGAAGATTCCTGACTCAGCATAAGCGGCAAAAAACTGCACGGCTTTAAAAAAGCACTGCTAACAATTTATTGGTGTGTATCAGAGCTGGCAATGGCAGTGACCACATCTCCAAGCCGGCAGCATGCAGACCAAGACAGTGAGCACAGCTTTCATTGCTGGCGGTAAAATAGCCGCCGCCATCTTTAGTAAACCAGGCAGGAACAACTATGACTTTCATTTCAGCAATGTTGTTGTTTACCAGATAAAAGACTCATGGCCAGAAAAAGATAAAGATTTACAGTAAAGACAGATTCATATAAGAAAAACCTCTAAAGGTTTACAGTGAGGTTTTAAAAAATACGTAGGCTTGGGAGAAAATAAAAAAATGGTTTTAAAAAGACAAAGAGGAGCTGGATGTGGTGGCACACACCTTTAATCCCAGCACTCGGGAACAGAGGCAAGCAGATCTCTTGTGATTTCAAAGTTAACCTGGTATGCAGAGTAAATTCCAGGACAGATAAGAGTTACATGGAGAAACCCTGTCTCAAAAAATAGAAAAGAAACAGAATAATAAAAAAGCCACAGATGGAGAAAATCTGGACACTGTACAGTATTATATTGTCTTTGTATTGTTTAACTGCTAAGAAAACAACAACTGTTAAAGGAAATGCTGCTGGATTAATTCAATTTATATATTTTAAAAAATGTGTTGACTCCAAAATTTAAGTCCAAGGACAAGTTACTGGGGAAAAGGATTTCTATTTTTGTTTCCACAGAAAATAAAAGCTGTGGATTCCGTCAAGAATAATGTGGTTTGAGCAAGCCAGACCCCCTGAAACAGAGTTGCTGGTGATCTAACATTCAAAACAAGCTGAACAAAGCAGCCTTGCAGACTACAGCCAGGATTTCTGCGTCTTCTCAGGATCTCCCATGACAGCACCCTTTACCAGCAGGAAGTAGTTTGGAAAGAATGACGCCCAAATTCCCAAATATTGTTTATACATGTTTGTTTTCATTTAAGTGGGCTTGGTTTTAAATGGCTAATGACAACAACCAATGTCCTTTTAAAGGTAAAAAGGGGATTATGGTATAGATATGAATACTTTGTTTTGGAACAGATTTTCATTTATTGATACAAATTTAAGGTCAATTTTGTGATGTGTATATTCTCCTTTTGTTTAGGTATTGTGTTTATATAGCTCATTTAGAAATGTAATGTATAATGTAGTACAGATAATACTTATCTATGATAGTCAAAGTTTAGAGTTAAGTTAGTTAGGTTTTTCAAGATACACAGAGATGTATTTGAGGTAGACAGGCATTCTTCAAACCTTTCAAAGACCTATAGAATATGGCATTTAAAAATGGTTTAGGGTTTTTATTGACAATGAGACATAATTGTTCCTGGCAACACCACCTGCGTCAGAAAGGAAGATGGACATTGAAGAAACTCATTATGGAGTTTGCTTCCAATATGGCAAGACTAGCCATTTGGACAAGATACTGCTCTTGTCTGGACTGTTTGACTTTATGCTGTATAAGCTGGACATGCAGGACCTACAGAAAAGTGACTGGTGATTCAAGATGGACATTGCTACAGAGTTCCTGCTTCATGGAAGAGTCTGCCGAACAGTCTGCAGGACACAGAGAAAAATGACTGACAAGCTGCCAATAAAAGAAGAGAGTTTAAAGTTTCCTGCTTTGCTGAAGAGTCTGCCAGACACACCATGGTCTATGGGCTGAAGATGGAAGATTACAAAAGAACTTCGGGTGACCAGGCAGTGAGTTGTCTCTGTCATTTCTAGAGTTTATATACTATCCTTCTGTGGTCTTTGAAGGAGTTGAAGACAGATAGTATGGTTATAGATTTCCTTAGTTAGGATTAAAGATATTTTACATATAGGACTTTAGACTCACAAAGATAGAATAGATGATGGAATATTTTCTTAAATCTTGCTAAATGTTAATGGACTAAATAGACTGTGATTCTTATTTGATAACTGTTATGTGATATATTCTGCTATGTTAAGGTTAAAACCCTTTTTATTTTAGACAAAAAAGAGGAGATGATGGGAGATGTCATTATGTCTATATGTTTCTCATGCTGGTTAATGAATAAAGCACTGTTGCCAATAGGAAAGGAAGATAGGAGGGGCTAGGAGACAAGGAGGAAATAGGAAGGAGGAGCCAAGATGGAGAGTCTAGAGAAGGAATAGCCGCCAGCCGCCTCTCCCTGGTAAGACCAGGTGTTAATACATAGAAATGGGCTAATAATTAAGACAGAGCTAGCCGATAGGAAACTAGCACCTGGCCAACAGCATAATATCAAACACAGAGTCTCTGTGCATTATTTGGGGCTGGCCCTGTGGCAGGACAAGACTGAACGGCAGGCGGAAAAACCATACTCGTTACAAAAAGCTGAATGGCCAATAGCTGGACAGGAAAGATTAAGTGGGACTGCTGGGCAGAGAAAACTTGGGAATGAATCTGGGCAGAGGGGAGATGACAGGAAGACATGGAGGGAGTTGGACATACAGAATGGCAGAACATAGATTAATAGAAATAGGTTACATTATAGGAACTAGTTGGGAACAAGATTAAGTTAACGGCCAAGCTTTCATAATTATAAGTCTCTGTGTCATTATTTGGGAGCTGATGGTTCCAGGAAAGTCTAACAAGAAAGTACAGCTACAGCTTAGCTCTGGAAAGGTGAGACAGACCTGTAAGCCTCACTGGCTGACAAGCCTAGCTTAATAAGTGAGCACGAGTCCCAGTGGGAACTTGCTTAGTAACGACGTCTTGCATACACTACACAAACAGGTATATTACATTATTACATATTGTTTTTTGGTTCGTTGTCTTCACTTACTCCCCCTCTTTTTTTTTTTTTTTTCTTTTGGTTTTTCAAGACAGGGTTTCTCTGTGTAGCCTTTACTGTCCTCAAGCTCACTCGATGGATGAGATGGATGAGGCTGGCCTGGAGCTGCCTCCCTTAATTCACACTGGCATCTTATTTAAAAGTAAAGCAAAAGCTGCCAGCTGTTTCAAGCTGATAAATACTGCTGAGATGTTAACCATAATTTGAGTACATATTACCTGCTGCAGCAGCTTCTGCAGGGCTGCAATGTTCTCCAGTGACAGACAGAAGGCACTTTCATCTTCACACACTGCATCTTTTTCAAAGCTTGTGTCAGGAGTGTGTTCTAATTCTTCCATACACAATATGATTTGTTTTTTAATGTTAACAAACTGCTCGTGCCTAGATTCCTAAGATAAACAAAATTGTTATAAGATACCTAGAAGCTAAAATGAAGTTTTAGGGTGGAATGAACTCAGGCAGCATACCTTGGTTTCCCTCAAAGTTGCCACATGTTGTCGGAACAGGTTCAGCTCTTCTAAGGAGGGGACAGAAGTGCTGTCCACATCATATACAGGCGTACAAAGAATGTCACAAAGTTCTTGATCTTGTTCTTGGAGTAGCTTAAGTTCTTGCTTTCTCTCCTTTTTCTGTTTTCTCAGAAATTCTACTTGAGTGCGCAAATCCTTTTCTAATTGCAAAACAGTTGTCTCTTTTTCTTCTTCCTGTATGAAATAAGATAGGACTATAGTAAGGTTCAAGGATGGGAAGGAAACTGGGAGAGAATATGAATGACAAATGTTTAAGCCTGGGGTGGTGGCACATACTTTTAATTCTAGCACTTGGGGCGGGGCGGGGGGGGGGGGGCGGGCGACAATCTGTAAGTTTAAGGCCAGCCTGGTCTACAAAGTGAGTTCTAAGATGGCCAGGGATATTACACAGAGAAACCCTGTCTCAAAACAAAATAGCAGTTTATAGCCAACAGAAAATCATGTAAAGAGGATCACATAGGCCCTCTAGCAGGGAAAGGCAAATAGGACCTTGTTTATCTCTTGTACTGTGTGGCCAAGGATCAGAGTCCTGATCCTGCTGCCTGTGTTTCAGGTGCTGAGATTACAGACATGGAGCACCATGCCCAACTTCCTTTTCCAATTTTTTACTATGGTAAAATACCCCTAAATTACTGCCCTACATACCATCTTTACCATTCTTAAATGTATAGTGCAGTGATATTAAATATAGGTAGTCTTCAACTTAGCAACACATTTCATAGTTTTTCATCTTCACAACAGGACAAAAGCAATATGCATTGAGCAGAATCTATATTGCAAGTATGAAAACAGCAAGTTTTTCACTTTCAATACAGAATTCAAATTACACAAACTATGAAATACTTTTTTTTTTTTTTTTTTTAAAATGGTCTTACCAGCTTTGAGCTTGAGATCTTCCTGGCTAGGGTTTCCACATGCTAAATTACAGGCCTTCACTACCAATCACCTCAAGCAACAACTAGGTGTATACAACCTTTTGACACTGTGACATAACACTGACACACACAGTTCATACCTGAGAACTTGTAGGGTCAAGGCTTGTTGTCAAGCCTGACAATCTGAGTTTGATCCCTAGAACCCACATGGTAGAAGAATAAAACCAACTCAAGCAAGTTGTCCTCTACAAGCCAATGGCATGTGCACAACCACACACCCACATTTAAAAAAAAAAAAAAAAAAATCACCACTAACAATAAAGACCTCATTGAAGAACTTTATAATTTTTTTTTAAAAATCTAGTTTTATAAATTTAACTTTATTACTGTTGTATAGTAGGGGACATGCATAGTATTACTGTGTATAGTAGGGGACATGCATATGACAGTCAAAGGACAGTTTTATGAAGTCAATTCTTTCCGCTCATTCTTATGTGGGTTCTGCAAGCTTTTACATGATAAATGTTTTATCCACTGATAGCATCTAATTGGCCTGATCTCTTATTTTTGAGCAATACCAGAGTTTAAAACTACGATATCATGCTGGTCAAACTTCTACCACTGAACTGTATCCACAGTGGTTAGATTACAGTTTTGTATTAATCCACAGGTTGGACATTTGTGTATGATGGTGTTTTGTGCATATGTACAATAACCAAGTGTAAGCTGTAATATTCAGTAACTGAACTGGATCAATTGTACAGTTTTCTAAAATTTATGATGGTTTTATTAGGATGTAAGTCCAAGTTAAGAAGCAATTGTAAATATAGCTGTGTAATCATCATGACCACTACTAACTCCAGAACTCATTTTATCTTGCAGAACTGAAATCATTAATTTGGCAAAAGGTCCTCATTTTATGTTCCCACCAATTCAATCTATTTTATTAAATCTGTTTTACGTACCAGAATACTTTTGCCAAGAGGTGTACAAGGACCAGAAAGCTTACTTTGGTTAACTAGAAGATGGTATATCTAGTTTTTATTAACTGAATACTTACACTAAAAATCCTATGAGCATCTCTTTACCAATAACAATCAATTTAGTAGCTCCTGCTCTATCCCTAGTGTATTAAGGGAATAGAGTGGATGGTAATTATATTCTACAAATAGTTTCATTTAGCAGTTAAAACTTTGCCATATATTCAAGGAAGACAGAAGTACCAGTGTACTTCTCACATACCTAATTTCACACTGAGAGTTTAAGAAAAAAAGAGAAACTTCATGTAGAAAGTCATTTATTTTAATTTCAGGAAACTGCTCTCATGTCATGGTCTGCTAGACTTACTCCATCTACACACAGGTGGTTAAGTTTTTCCTGTAACAACAAATGTAACATAAGAACCAGTCATCATTGCCTTTCAAACTCCCTATGTGTCCCAACTTTTCAGAACCATTCTGGATGGTTCAGTGGTATGCAGCTTTTGATCATTAAAAGAGCCACAACGGTTAATTTTGTTTGGTACTCCTTCTTTGTATCACTAGGCATCCTTGCCTCCTATGTACCCACTTTATTCTGTGAGAGTGGATGGTAGCACATACAATGTATGAGAACAAATGGATGGAGGACAGAGATCAACTTTTGGGCGAAACTGTCTGCCTTGTTTTTTGTTCTAAAGATTTACTTATAAGGATATGAGCTTCTCTCCTGCATGGATGTAAGTGTACTGCATGTGAACCTGGTGCTCACTGATGTCACAAGAGGGTGCTGGAGTCCCTAGTATTGGAGTTCAGGACAGTTGTAAGCCTGTGCTGGGAACTGAAATCAGCTCCTATGCAAGAGCAGCAAATGCTCTCAACTGCTGAACCTTTCTCTAGTTGCTATCTTGTTTTTAGTTTTTTTTTTTTTTGAGACAAGGTCTCTCATTGGTTTGAAGCTTAAACTTAAGCCCACCTATCTCTGCCTCCCCAATGCTGAGGTTACAAGTATAGGGCACCATTATGATTTTTTCTCTCCAGACAAGGTTTCTCTGTGTAACCCTGGCTGTCCTGGAACTCACTCTGTAGACCAAGCTGACCTTGAATTTTCAGAGATCTGCTTGTCTCTGCCTCCCAAGTGCTGGGATTAAAGATGTGAGCCATCATGGCCTGGCAATCTGGCTTTTTTTGCAAGGATTATGAGGACTGAATTCAGGTTCTCATGCCTATGAGGAAAGGACTTTACCAATTAACCCATTTCTTCAATGTCCCCCTACTCCCCCTCTTTTAAACAAAGATCCATGCCACCCTTTTCCTCAAAGTTAAAACCTTGTTATGCTCTATAAAATAAAATACAGCAAGAAGTGTTTGATAACCTATTAGCTATTTCATGCCAACAGGGTAACTATCTTTCACATTTCTCATGTCTCTCTCTCCTCCTATAAGAACACTTTCCATTTACATTGCTAAGTTAAAACGTATTCCTCTGTCTTAGACCCCAGCCACCCCTCCCCCCGCCCAAGCACTCTGCATTGCCACACCTGAAATGGCTTCACTTGCAACTCATTGCACAGGGTACTCAGCTCCTTCTGACAGATGGATATGCTTTTGAGAAGCCGTTCCCTCAGACTCTCCTCTTCAGCAATCATCCTATCCAGAAGATCCTGTGTGAGAGAAGAAAGTTAATAAAGGTTTGGAACCACTGGGAATAAAACAAAACACAACAAAACCATCTAGCATCTCAAAACTCACATAATTTCAAATTTTTCAGAAAAAGCTTTAAATAAACAAAACCTGAAAGAGCCTGTGATATCCTAGTATGAATGACCAAATGTTATTATTTATTATGATACATGCACATGATGTGGGGTTGAGAAATGCAGATGTCATAGAATGAGTGTGAGGAGGGAAGACAACTTTATGGTCTCAATTCTCCCCTCATACCTTATATGGATGGGGTCTGGTGATGAAGCTCGGGTCTTCAGGCACATATCATGGAGTTGCAGGTGCCTTTACCTACTAAGTCACCTATCCAAGTCCCCAAATATCAGTCTGTCTGCTGTCTCAAATAAGGCAGCAACATCCCTACCTCTTGGTCTCACTGCAGAAAGACAAGTACCACTCAACTCACCTTGATGTGCTTCTTCACAACCTCGGTTCTTTGTAATCGCTGTTCCTCTGGAATCCCAATTAATTCCCATATTTCCCGAAGGTGACTCAGAGCTTTCTGGAGGCATACGATGGACTCCTCTGCTAGCACTTCACTGAAAATCAATATAAAACCATTTTGCTTATAACAGCCAGCATCACTGCTATAAAACTAAAAGCACTATTTTCAAGAGCTAAATTGAGTAGTTTCCCAGTGGCTTTAAGAGTAAAATGAAATCAGTGTAAGTATACTAGTTTAATAAGCCCATAGCCACTCTCTGTCTTCTAAATGCCACAGAAGCAAAATTTATATTCACTTAGTTAAGATCCAATGACTTTGATCCACGATTCTATGTATGGCAGAATAATACTGAATTACAAATGCTTTTATAAAAGAAAAGCCAAACAAAATGTCCTAACATAAGAGTTTGCATGTAAAAAGCCCCTAAAAACAGATGCCAAAGAGCTGGGTGTGTCCTGTGCCTGTGAAGCCTGCATTTGAGGCTGAAGCCAACATGGGAAATAGAATGAGAGCCTTTAATCCCAGCACTCAGGAGGCAAATGCAGGCAGAGACAGGGTTTCTCTGTCTTGCTTTGGAGCCTGTCCTCGAATTCACTCTGTATACCAGGCTGGCCAAGAACTCACAAAGATTCACCTGCCTCTGCCTTACACGTGCTGGGATTAAAGATGTGTGCCACCAAACCCAGTCAATCCAACAATTTTTTAAAGGTAAAGATTTACTGTACTCCATTCATCTTAGAAATATTAGTAATTAAAGGCAATTAATATACTATACTATACTATACTATACTATGCAGTTAATATACTATGAATCAATGTCCAGCTAAGATGTTTCCCCGAGGAAGCATGCCTTTTGAACTTTACTTTGATAATAAAAAGCTGGCCATGTCAAAACTGATATTATCATCTCATTAAATATAACTGTCTCTGAGCCAGGCAGAGGCAGGCAGATCTTTGTGAATTTGAGGCCTGTCTGAGTGCCAGAGCTGTTACATAGAGAAACCCTGTTTCAAAGAAAAACAAACAAACAAACAAACAAAAAAATAGAACTTTTTCCTTAGTCTTAAAGGTCCACCCTCCATGACAGCTATATTTTTATGAAAAAAGTAAATTGATCCAAGTTCCTAAGGACATGGCCACCTCTCCCAAAGATTTCATACTCTCTGCTGCATGTTGATGGTGTTTTAGTTGTTGATGGTGTCACGCCTTTAATCCCAGCACTCAGGAGGCAGAGGCAGGCAGATCTCTATGAGTTCTAGACCAGCCTGGTCTACAAGAGCTAGTTCTAGGACAGCCTCCAAAGCCACAGAGAAACCCTATCTTGAAACCCCCCCCAAAAAAAGGTCACACTTCACACACACTCACCTAGGCCAACAGTTCAGTTACCCTACCCTCCTACCTATCAACCCCTCCAGCCTGCAGCCAACAGAACTTCCTGCATCTTCCCTGGACAATGTCCCCTACCCTACTCATACGTGGTTTATTTTCTGATGCTGTGTATTTTCACAAATTAGCTTCCCTTCACCTGTCAGTCTCATCTGAAGAACTATGAACATGTCACCATCACAACACATTTTTAATTTTTTAATTTTAAATGTGTTTTGCCTGCTTTTATGTCTGTGCACCATGTATGTTTATGTGTCTGGTGTTTAAAGAGGTCAGAAGAGGACACTGAATCCCTTGAAATTTGAGTTACCCACACTGTGAACTGCCATGTAGATGTAAAGAATTAAACCCAGGTCTTCTTGAAGAGCAGCCCGTATTCTTAACCTCTTTGCCATCTCTCCCAGTCCCCCATTACCACATCTGTATCATCTTCATTTTACCAGTTGTTGATTAAATGTGAAAGGAGGACTAGGCATGGTGGCACATAATCCAAGCACCCTGAAGACAGAGGCAGGTGGTGCTCTTTGGCCACCAGTGCTATAGGCTCTCTCAGGCCAGCCAGAGCTACATAGTAAGATCCTGTCTCAAAAACAAACCATTCCTGCCAATGATTCCCTATGCTCCTAACTTTCAGATGCCATCAAGGCCACTTAGGTCCAGTAACATATATAGAAGATAAAACCATTTTTTTCCTGAATAAATGAATGATAAAAGAATTTGAGCACATATCTCTCCAAATGAGATCTATAAATGGCTGGTTGTTCATCATCAGTCATCAAGAAAATGTAAATCAAAATCACAATGACATACCACTTCATAGCTAAGATGGCTATAAGCAAAGACAGATAACAGCTGGGCATCCGTGGTGGTGCATACCATTAATCCCACTGCTCTGGATTAAAAAGGCAGATTTAGGGCTGGAGAGAGCTCAGCAGTTAAGAGCACTGGCTGCTTTTCCAGAGGACCCGGGTTCAACTCCCAGCACCCACATGGCAGTTCACAATTGTCTGTATTAACTCCAGTTCCAGGGGATCAATACCCTCACACAGAAACATGCAGGCAAGACATAAAAATAAATCTTTAAAAACTTTTTTAAATCTCAAAAATAAAGGGCAGCTCCAGAACTACACAGAGAAACCCTGTCTGGGTAGGGTGAGTGGGGTGAGAGGATTGGGAGTTGTTATAAGAATTTTGTGGGTTTTGTTTAGAAAGGGTTTTATGTAGCCCAGCATGGCCTCCAAATCACTAAACAGTCAAGGATTTTACTTTTAATTACATGTATGTTTGTGTGTGGTATATATGCACATGAGTGCAGTCACCAACAGAAGCTGGAAGAGTTCCCTGGAAGTGGAGTTATAGATGATTGTGAACCACTTGATATAGATGCTAGATGTTAGAAACTGAACTCCAATCCTCTAGAAGAGTAGAATGCACTGGTTTTTTGTTGTTGTTTTGGTTTGTTTGTTTTTGAGGAGAGTGAGGGCAAGACAGGGATTTTCTGTTTAGCCTGGCTCTCCTAGAACTCCATATACCAGGTTGGCTTTGCTTCCTATCAGCCTACCTCTGTGAGTAGTATGCACTCTTAACCATTGACCTATCTCTCCATTTCAGGTGTCATCTAGACTGGCCTCAAACTGGTGTTCCCTCTACCTCACTACAAATGGTTCAGAGGGTAAAACACTTGCTGCACAAACCTAACCAACAACTTGACTTCAATGCTCATCACTCATGAAAAAGCTGAAAAAGCCAACTCTACAAAATTGTCCAATAACCTCCACGTGAGTGCTGTGACATGGCTTATAACCTGCTTCACACACATATACACATTAATAATGAATAAAAAAAAATTTAAAGACCCCATCTCAAACTAGAGAGATGGCTGAGTGGTTAAGAGCACATATTAGATATTCTGGGGCCTGGAGAGAGAGTGGTTAATAACACTCCTCCTGTAAAGGACCTGAGTTTAATTCCCAGCACCATGAAAAGTGCCTCACAACTATAACTCCAGTCCTCTTCTGGACTCCAAGCACCTGCTGCACTTACATGCACATATTCACACTGTTAGTATTGGGGCATCTCTATTGGCCTGCCCTTGGGGCTCTGACAGGATACACCCTCAGTTCCAGTCACTAGAATGTGCACCATCTGTGCACATTCACTATGTTCCCCTTCCTATGCCCCTCTTTCCTCTCCTGCTGCTCCTGTCCTTGGAGGCTGGTCTCCCCCTTCCCCTTTTTATGGTACTTTTCCCTAATAAAAATCACCCTGCTTGAACCCTGTCCCATGCACTGCTTTTCTTAAATTACAACCCCCCCCAATATACGCATCATTAAAAATAAATCTTAACATTTTCTGAGGGCTAGACATGATTCAATGGTGTCTCCAACCTAGACTTTATACAAGACTGCATGGTGCCTTTGGGAGGCTCCAGGGGCAAAATGACAAGGATTCATATTAGCCAGGTTATCATGTCCATCTGCACCAAGCTTCAGAATAGTTAACACGAGATTGATGTTCCGCATTGAACCAGTGTTCAAGTTCCCTGGTTACCAGAAGATCCACACCTCAAAGTGAGGTTTCATCAAGTTTAATGAGATTAGTTTGAAGACATGGCTGCTGAGAACCACCTTATTACCGATGGCTGTAGGGTCAAGTCTAAGAATACATCCCTTATTGCTGCTCTTCCAATGTAGAGTCTGTCTCTAGACACCTGTATTCGTGCAAATACCCATACACAAGTACATGTAATTTAAAATAAAAAGATCCCCCTTCAAAAATGGGGCCACATGCAGTAGTGCACACCTTTAATCCCAGCACCCAAAAGGCAGAGGCCCTGGTGTACACAGTGAGCTCCAGGACAACCAGGGGTGTGTAGAGACGCTGCTTTAAAAGCCTCCCCAAATTAATAAGTAACAAAATAAAAAAGAAATGTTTTTTTAAAAATAACTGAGGCATAAATTCAAGGATCTCAAATCCAACTGAAACCAAGGCAAAGCATTGGCCATAGTATGGCCTTCCTGTATTCTCAATAAGACCCTGTCTTGAATTTTTTTTTTCTTTTTTTTTTTTTTTTTTTTTTTTGTTTTTAGAGACAGGGTTTCTCTGTATTTCTTTGGAGCCTGTCCTGAAACTAGCTCCGTAGACCAGGCTGACCTCTGAACTCACAGAGATCCACCTGCCTCTGCCCCCCAAGTGCTGGGATTAAAGGCATTCGCCACCAATGTCTGGCTCCTGTCTTGAAATTTAAAAAGAAAAAAATTCATGCTGGTTGTGGTAGTACAAACCTTTAATCCCACAATTCAGGAGGCAGAGAGGCAGGTGGATCTCTCTGAGTTCAAGGTCAGTTCAAGACAGCCAGGACTATACACAGAGAAATTCTGTCTCAAAAATCCAAAAAAAATCAGAAGATGCTTGAACAACCCATAACAAAACACACACACACAGTTTTGAGGGATGGTCTCATATGTTAGTCTGGCCTTGAACTAGAACCTCCTGGCCTTTATCTCTCAAGAGAGTTGTGGGAGTATAGATGTGTACCACCACACCCAGCTGTTTGGATCTCCTATTTTGAGACAGGATCTTTGTCTATAGTGCAGGATGTCTTGAACTCTCCTTCCTTGGGCTTCTGGGTCATCGTATCCAAATAGACTTTGAATACTAGCTTCCTTTAAATGTCAATTAGGGTTTTACTAGCCTACATAAAGCATCACTACCTTAATCCCAGAAGAGTTTAAGTATAATGTTATTCAGATGAGATCATCTGGAATTCTTGACCATGTACTGAATTTGTAATCACAGTACTATTCATTAAGTGTTTGCATTCTATTCCCATTCTCTTGAGGCCAAGTATCTAGGGTTAAGAAATATGATCAAAATCAATAATCACTTAACCAAGACTCTTACAAATTACAGAGCCAATAACTACAAGCTCATACTAATCTCACAGTACTTCACCCATTACTTTCAGAAGGCATTTGTATAGCCTCAGCACAAGAGCCCTATTATTTTAGAAGTGCAAAAACGGGCATTCAGCCTCTTGCCCCAAGAGTCAGTTCTGGTCCAATTGCAAACTGAGACACTCCCAAAAGCAGTGCCTGGGAATCTTACAACGATCAGGAAAAAAATTCGTACTTTGAGTTTGTTAGCTTGTAAGGAAATCAAGCCATTTTCCAATTCAAATAAAACGTTAACACCGAATGGTAGCCACTTAGAAAAAGACAATACACTTAAAACTTCACGGCTGCTGAGCGTTGGTGGCGCACGCCTTTAGTCCCAGCACTCGGGAGGCAGACGTAGGTGGATCTCTGAGTTCGAAGCCAGCCTGGTCTATAAGCGAGTTTCAGGACAGGCTCCAAAACAATACAGAGAAACCCTGTCTCGAGAAAAAAAAAAAAAAGCAAAAACAAACTCCACGGCTTTTTGAGCCTGTCTTGCTGCTGTGTGGCCTAGGCTAACCTCAAGGCAATCTTCTTGACCCGGCCTACCGAGCAATGGTATTCCAGGCATTAGAGAAAGGAAAAGCCAACACCATTCCAGGCTCAGCATTTACACGGCGCAGCTGTCAGAAGCTGCACCCGAGACGTGGCGGAGTAGCCGGGATCTGAGGCGGCTCCAGCCGGGGCTCTTGCACCTGAGATCGGCGTCAGCTGAGCCTGGGCTTGAGACGCACCCACCCGGGCCTCCACCCTGCGCTGTCTCGCTCGCTTCTCGCCTCGCTAGTCACCCCGGGCGCAGCTGCCCTCCCGAGCTCGATCCAGTGCCCCAGTCTCAACTGGGGCCTGAACTCAGGCGTACGCTGGCTCTCGAACCTGGTACCAGAACGCATTTCAATACTGGCTCCCTCCCCTAAGAGACCCGTACCTTCTCCTCATGGCGGACGCTCCAAGCAGTCAAGAATTGAGACCCTCCACCTCCCTCACACGGGACGGAGGACAGTAACCAACCGCGAGATACCTCGCCTCCTGCCGCTTCTAGACTCTGCTCTCGAGCCGTTGGACCCCGCGGAATTCAAACTCAGCCGGAGGCGGATCCTTCCGACAATTGGTTCCTGTTTCCGCCACTCACGGAGCCCCGCCCTTGTCCCGCCCCTCCTAGGCCCAGGGACTGAGGTTCCTACGGATCGCGCCCTAGGCGTGGGAAGCAAAGGCAGCGGGCCGCCCCGGTACACGCATGCGCATACCTATGTCTCTAGGTTCCACAGCTCCGCTGTAGCCTCAAGGCGGGGAAAGGGGGAGGCGATGATGTCACCAGAGCCCCACCCGGCGGCCGCTGTTGGGTTTCGAAATTTTGTGCTTCCTTGGCGGTGACTAAGGAACAGGCCAACAACTCGCTATTCTCTAACGTCCCAAAAGGAGCGGGGATTAGCAGGAAAGCTTACAGAAGAGCAAACCATCAGGATCTTGGGCTTGCTACCTTTGTAGACAAGTTTATTACATTTAATCATTAAGGCAAACCTCTTAATAATGATCATCATTATACTGAAGAAAAAAAAATCTTGAAAAGATTTAAGTAGTGTCTGGGCTACGAGGGAAAAAAAAAAATGAATGACTTACTTGCCTAATTAAGCTGTGACCAAATGGGAATAAGCGAGGCTTTGTTTTTCTTACAAATTATAGGGATTTAGGTAAATTAGGGAAACTTCACCATTCCAACCCGACATCGAAGCCCTCGCGTGTTCTTTTCTTCCCCGCTGGTCATTGATTAGCACCTGTGCCACATTTTTCAGTGATTTCCATTACCTAAAATCCTTGTGTGGCTGTATCTCTAAGTCAAGCATGTTGCTAGTCAGACAACAATTTGTAAGTAAAGCTGAGACGAATTTTTTTTTGTTACTTTTTTTAAAAAATGAATTATAGAAGTGTAATTGCAAAACACTCCAAAGAGGTTGTATTTGTTGACCTCTTGTCTCCACCAAGTTCTACTTGGAGTATCCTTGTTATCTACAACAGTGAACATTAATGGGCTTTTAAGCCACTCTGCTCTGTCCAAATAGGTCCAAAACAAAACACAATCCGACATTATCTTTTCTGGCCTACACTAAATTATAACTGAAGTTACCTGTTTTTCTATATTGGCCAACTGTACGTCTATAAATTTTCATCATTGCCTTTTTTCTTTATAATTTTACATTTACTGAATTTGTGTGTCTATGGGGGTGGTTGTGTATGGAGACTAGAGGGCAACTTAGAGGATTCAGTTCTCTCCTTCCACTAGGTGGGTCTTCCACCCTTTCACAGGAGTCAATTATCAGATATCTTCCATATCAGATGCATACATTATGATTCTTAACAGTAGCCAAATTACAGTTCTGAAGTAGCAATGAAATAACCTTATGGCTGGGGTCACCACAACATGAGGAAGTGTAAAAGGGTTGTAACATTATGAAGGTTGAGAAACACTGCTCTAGGAGTTCAATTCAGGTTATTTATTAGGCACCATTAACTACTGAGCCACCTCCTGAAACCATCATTTGCTAGGTATGGTGGTGCATGCCTTCCTTTGCTCTCAGTACTCAGACAAAGGCAGGCAGATCTCTGTGAGTTAGAGGCCACTCTGGTCTACCTAGATTCTAGGCCAGCCAGAGTAAGATAGGCTCGGAGGCAACAAATAAAACTTTGTTTCGCCTCTAGCACCAATGTTTTGTTTTGTTTTTTTCCCCCGGGGGCTATTTGTTGTTTTGATTTTTCAACACAGGGTTTCTCTGTTTAAAGTCCTGGAACTCTGTAGACCAGGTTGGCTTTGAACTCAGACAGATCTGCCTGCCTGCCTTTGCCTCCCCACTGCTGGGTATTACAGGAGCACACCATCGCCCAGCCTAGAACCATATTTACTATAGGTGATTCATGGTTTGCTAGTTTGTTTTTTGGGTGCTGGGATTAAAGGCATGTACTTCTAAATGCTACAAAGCCTGGCTTAGTTTTGTTTTTCTGAGACAAGGTCTCATTCTGAGCCCAGGATGGTCTGAAACTCACTACATAGCTCAAGCTAATCATGAACTTCTGAGTGATCCTTATGCCTCAGCCTCTCAAGTGCTGGCATTATAGAAAGCCACCATGCCTGGGCATCAGAAAGGTGTTTTTCTTACTTTCAGAAAACATTTTATTTACTAGGCATAGTAATACAAACCTGTAGTCAGCACACTTGGGAGGCAGGAAGATCACACTGCAAGTTCAAGTCCAGCCTGGTTTATACAGGTCTAGGCAAGGCAGTAACCATGTCTCAAAAAAGTAACAAAACAAACAAAACAAAAAAAAAAGTGTCTCTATAATTTAGAGCAATAACAAATTTGTTTTCAGAAAGTATAATGAACCACTGAATTTTAGAATGGAAAGGTATTTGTTGACCATTGAATCCACCTGACAAAACTCTGGTGCAGAGCATGAGCTGACTGTCACTAGGAAGAACTGAAGTGGGCCCAGAGTCCAGGCCAGGAAGCATACGAAACCCTTAGGACAGCCAACTGTGTAAAGAAGAGCATGTGTTTACCACCTCAAAGATATTGCATTTGAGAACAGAGGCTTTATTTACAGTAATATTCAAACAGGATTTAGCAAAGGATACCTCTCTCTGCACACCTTAGCAGCATGGGCTATACTTTATAAACAGAAGAATATCCTGGGGGACAGAACATGAATTCTCTCCTCAGGCATGTTCTCCAAAACCCAAATTAGTTTCAAAGTCCCATTCTTCTATCAGGTGGAGGTCAAACATCAACATCCCAGTGGGGTCCACAATCAAGAATGACTTCAACACTGGCTAAGAAAACTTCAGGCTTTCACCTCACTCATGGCTTCCATGAGGCGAGCACTGTTTGTAATGGCTGTTGTCAGAAAGATGAATCTGTACCCTAAGAGTCAAGACAAGCAGCAGAAGTGATTAAAAGCAGATCTTAGGTCCCATCAGAACAAGCCAACTAGTTCCACAGTGCCCCAGGACCAGAATGCAAGTTTTACAGGCTCAGAAACATCTGGACCTGCCTGAGCAACAAAGTAAAACTCTGGCTCCAGCAAGTGGGGAGAAAAATAGAAGATAAAAGCATCAGTAATAGTCTCTTGGGCATTATAATATGCCATGCCTGATGAATCTGGATTCCCCTGCCTCCTGCTACAGCAGCCCAAAGCAAAGCTATGCAAGTGGTACCACAGTCAGAAGGAAAGCCTTCCTGTGCAGGGCATGTGATCCCCAGGACCCAAGCATCCCTACTTTTACTTTCTGTGCTCTTACCTTTCTCTCTGCCCAGGAACCTCAGGGCTGATATCTCTGAGAATGTGCAGCCCCCCAAGAACACCACTAAGATGAGGCGCAGGGACTCACTGGAAGCTTTGTCTTCCTTAGCCATATCTGTGAAGAGCAGAGTAGACTCTCACCTTCACTCAGGCACTAGTCCTGGGTGATGTGTCCAGCCCACCTCTCTTCTATACCCTGCACCACTAGCAGTGCCACATACCTGTGAATGCAAACTCACTGCAGTTTAGCAGCCGAACCACTTCATCAAGGCCCTGCCAGCCCCGACGCTCCAGCACCTGGGAAGGTAGAAACACTGGTTTCAAATCTTCTGATAGAAAGTTTAGCAAAGGAAAGGAATAGCAGCAAGACTCATGTTTCTTGTTTGAGAAGTCGGAGTTGGGATCAGCCAAGGACCAAGAGGAAGCATAAAGAATGAAATAGGAATAAAGCAAAAGTGATTCTTTCTTACCTGCTCAATGATTCGGCAGCTCAGAGGCACATAGGCACCACTGAAGACATAAGCCATGTCTCGGGGGACTTTCAGGTCATACTCCCCATCTACACGTGGGATCTAGAGAGCAAAGGTACTACATTAGGCAGGTCCTAACTCAGCACTCTAACCTTTTAAAGGTCTGATAAAAGTAGCACATCTCAAGTTCACATTTTAACTAGTGAGAGCCAGCAAAGGTCCTGAAAGAAGGGGTCCATACCCAAGACAACCATTGTATTAAATACCTGCCTCTTCTCTCTAGGGATTCCTCTGCTCTCTGTGAAGGTGCTCAATGGAGGGCTCTTTTCCAGTTCTTTCGGCTAGTCCCTTGACAGCTAGCAGGGGGACCCATACTTCTCAGTGTTCTCTAGCATTGATAGGTGCTGTTACAGGTTTATTAAACAGTGGTTCTTTATGTTTTGTCTCATTATTAAATTAAGCTTATGCTGTAAAGTTACCAAAGGACCTTCACAAAAATGCAATGACACAGGGCTGGAGAGATGGCTTAGCAGCTGAAGGCACTTGCTGCTCAATTCCCACCTACCACCCACAACTGCAGCTGGGGGAAATTTAAAACTTTCTTCTGGCCTCCCCAAGCACTGGGCTGACATATGAAAGGAAGCAACACATAAAATAAATAATTTTTTGTTTTGTTTTGTTTTTTTCCAGACAGGGTTTCTCTGTGTAAACATTCTGGCTGTCCTGGAACTCACTGTGTTGACTAGGTTGGCCTCGAATTCACAGAAATCCATCTGCCTCTGCCTCCTGAGTGCTGGGATTAAATTAAAGGCATGCACCACCACTGGCCGGCAAATAAAAATATTTTTAAAGGTAAAGAAATATAATGAGGAGATGGCTCAGTGGATAAAATCACTTGCTACAAAAGCATGATGATCTGAATTCAAGTCCTTAGAACCCATGTAAAAAGCTGGACCCACAGCATAAGCACATTTGGCCCCAATGCCCTATGGGGAATTGGGAGACAGAGACAGAATCTCAGAACCTAGTGGGCAAGCTAGACTGAAAAAACAAAACAGATGTCATCTCCAGTGAGGTGGAAGATGAGGACTGACATCTGAGGTTTACATACTATATGGATTCAAAATACACTATCAAGAAACAAACAATAACTGTTCCACATACCAAATTCAGCTTTTTGCTGATGGCACGAAAATTGCTCCTCTTGGCCAGAGAACTGAAGGCGTCAGTGATCTTTCCTGGGGAAGAAATCTGTGCTAGGTTCCATCGAATATCTATA